AGGTTGCAGGAACAGCAACTCATATTCCGCTTGGGAACCCTGCAGCCCAATGGTATCAATGTGGATTTCACAAGTTTCAAAATCTCCCCTCCCCCTACCGCATCCCAAAACCAGTCCAGCTCGTCCCTGCCTCCCTAACCTGTTCTTCCTCCCACCTATCCCCTCCTCCCACCTCAAGCCGCACCTCCATCTCCTACCGACTAACCTCATCCCGCCCCCTTGACCTGTCCGTCCTCCCTGGACTGACCAATCCCCTCCCTAACTCCCCACCTACACTCACCTTTACTGGCTCCATCCCCGCCTCTTCGACCTTTTTGTTTCCTCTCCACCTATCCTCTCCTCTATCCATCTTCAATCCGCCTCCCACTCTCTCCCTATTTATTTCAGAACCCCCTTCCCCTCCCCCTTTTCTGATGAAGGGTCTAGGCCCGAAACGTCAGCCTCTCTGCTCCTATGATGCTGCTTGGCCTGCTGTGTTCATCCAGCCTTGCACCTTGTTGCCTCGCAGTAACTTGTGGTTTGCTTCTTTTGACGTTCAGACAACTTTGTATTCACAACAACACTTCACCTGCTCCATGTACACTGTCCCCTTCCACCCTTCATCTATGCAAGTAGGCATCACCAAACCACCACGCTCACTTCATCATTGCCTCTTTCAGACCAACTCACACACCACTTCAACCCTTCAGGACTTCTCTTTGAAGCTCAGGGACACTTATGAATGGCAAGGTTTTGCCAAGGTCCTTCTACCTGCAGGATTATGCATGCAGGTCTGCGCATCTACCGAGGCACTGGATGTGGTGGACCTGGGTCTCCATGGTAGTAGCCAACCTATTCATGGAGGTAGCCACATGTATGCATGCTGGACTAGCACAGTACTGACAACGTTGGTGGACTTCATTCTTTGATCCAGTTTACTGAAAACCTCTGACAAATCAGCCTGCAGTTCTTGTGCCTGTCTGTGCATTTTGACAATCTCATTAACAGCAGAGACTGGAGGACCAACTTCTGCTTTGGCTGAGCAAGTGCCTGGCCTCTGACAATCCTTTGAGTGACACGGATCAGGGCATTTCCTTCTTGACCAGTCACGGAGATGCGTCAATGATGTGCTCACCAGATTGTGCTCCCAGAACTAATCCAGATTGAACATCCACTGAGGTGAAAGACTAGAGCTGATGGGGGGTGCAGTTGAGACTTTTGCCTGTGCATTGAGTGACTTCCTTCTCTGAGGTGGGGCTGGATCTGGAGCTGAGGGTCTCTAGCACAGACCACTTCTTGGCAGAATTCCACTCGTGCCTGCATGAGAATAAAGACTGACTTAGTTGTGTGAAAGGGATAAAAGCTTTTGCAGGATAAGAATGAGTTAGTTTTGGATGCAGTGTGAGAGCAGCACAGCACAACACAATGAAGCTTATTAGGTTGGTCACCAAGGAGGTCTCTGCATCCCCATATAAGCAAGTCTGTCCTTATCTGGACAAGTTTATAATCTTGTATGGGGAAAGGAGATTTGCGTCACCACCCATGGCTGGTTTTTGTCCTCTTGATCTGATTTTGACATTTGTTCATAGAGTCATAAACATTGAAACAGGCCTTTCAGTCCACCATGTCAATGCCAACCACCAAACACTAAACTGAACTAATCTCATTTACTTGCACTTGGTCAATAGCCATTTTGTCTTTTAATGACAGAAAGGGAGGCACTGAGTATGATGAAAGTGAATGGAAGACTTATTCGTGATGACGCGTGAGCAGGAGAGGAGGTGAGGTATGCCCAGTGTGTAAGCAGGAAACACATAGAGAACAGGAAGGGTTAGTACTTTGGGAGGGTGAGAGCTATTGGCTGGACACATTGTATGCAATAGTGAGAGTTGTAATCCATAAGCTTTGAAAGGCACGTGCAGAGGCAGTGTGTTTTTTGCTTGTGAGGTAGTAAAGAGAAAATAGTAGCATTTACCCTTATGGAGTGCAGAAGATCATTCACCTTCTGTCTGCAGGGCTATGCATTGCTTTTAACTCAAGACAATGCACTGCTGAGGCTGCTGTCTGGGACCAGGCCGATGGCGGTGGCATGGCCACCTTTGCTGGTCTGCAGATAAAAGGAATGGTCCTCCTCTCCATTGTCCCATCCACCAGCATCCTTGAGGGTCCCAGTCCACAAAGTAGGTTCCAGACAATTTCCACAGGGAAAACGCTGTACACCACAGTATAAAACAGAGTTGCTGGCTGGCAGTGCCTGATGTGCCTTGGAGTTGCGTGCAAATATGGCACATGCAGAGTAGACATGACAACATCCTGGCAGTGGTGAGCGCTCTCGCATTTCCTGCCATGCAATTCTCCGAGATGGTCACAAGGAGGCCTGTTGCATAATTAATGAGATGCAGAGTGGAAGATTGCATGAGAAAATTCATCATGGCTCATGGTGCACCAGGCATCATGAGTCTCACTCTTATAACAACACTTTTCTTAAAAACAGAAAATGCAAAAAAAAAATCTGCAAATTTAGCCCAAGGGATTTGGAAGCAATGTAAATTGAACAGTTGCACATATCAAAATAGGCTTTGCATTTGCTGTGCATAATTGATCTTGCAAATTTTGATTACAACAAGTGTATTAAAATATCTCAACAGTTTAACAGTTGCTATATTTGATATACTCATGCTTGGCTATTAATGCAAATAATACCAGGAATATGCAGGCTCATCGTGTTTTGTGAGCAATGATGGATTGATGCCAAAAAACAAAGCTTTCAAGGCAATCTATAAAAAAGTAAAGGACAGCAGCATCCAGCTGCGTCTTTCTGCATGAATCATTGACCTCAATTGCAATACAATACCTGTAGTGTTGAATGTGATTCAATAGCCCAGGCTTAATGATAATTCTGGACTTGTAAGTCATGTCCTGTATTACTAAAGGCATATTGTCAACACTTCTAAAAGATGAATGAATTGGATAATATCAAAGCCAGTTGTTGTGATTCCTATAATTATTCTGCAGTCGACCTCAAGAATAAAATTAAAACAGTAACTGCGTATTGGAAAGATTTTCAAACTGTTCAGTTTTAAAAGGAATTCAGCTTTGACCTATAAGCAACAATCTCGTTGCTTCCTCAGCTACATATGTAACATAAGATTTGAATGCATGGAAGTCCCAAAGATCATTGAGCAAGGCTGCTTTATTCTACTGGCATCAATTAAATAGTGTGTGTTTACAATATTTACATGGAATAAAACCTGTGATATTTGATACGTTAAGGAATCCTTTCTCTCTCTCTCTCTCTCCTTCTCATCAGAGAACCCTTTTTTTTCGCCCAGAGAGGGTCCGTTTGACTGCTTCAGCAACTCTCTCATTTTTGCCACCTGCTGCTGGAGGTCCCATTGCACTCTTCCCTGTTTGAAAGCTACCATTCTGGCAATTGCACAGTGATTGTTTGCTAAGCTGATGTGTGATTAGCAGTTTCGATGGCACCTCGATGGCTAGAATATTTGAATCCACATGAGTGGTAATTCTCTTCTTGTATTATAATCTGGGCAAGTTGTAGTGGTTAGGATGATATCTAGCATTTTTTTGAATACCTTCTCAACCTCTTGTCTGCACTTCCAAGGAATCCAGGTCATATGGCAAATCACCCACACTGAGGTAGGTCGTTCAGGACTTTAGGAATCATGTGATCGATGACACTTACTGTTTCAGTTTTCACCTCCCAAAAGATGCTCTTATGCCTTTTTCCAGGGCAGAGGTAGGCCTCCTCTCACTACATTCACAAGGTACTGCTCACTCCAGAATTCCACAACACTCTCTAACTCCCCTCCACTTGATCTGTCATGCTAAAGCTTAAAGTTCTCCAACACCACCAGATTTCAGGTCTCAGGCATCTCCCCTCCATTTTCTGAGGTTTAGCATCATGTGATGCTCGGCTGTCCACTTATTGACCTGACCATCTCCATCACAAGGTGCACCAAGCACAAGAGGATCCATAGGAAGGACTGAGTCTTGTCCAAAGGAGAGACGGAGAATTGCCTGTGGTTGTATGTGGTGTTATTATAAACATAAACCAGCTCTAGAAGGTACTTGGACCACTCTCACTTATTCTCGGGAGGCAAGTTGTACAGATGTCATGCAGCTTCTGGCTGAATTGCTTGCTCTGCCCACTGTCCTCTAGATAATGGGGGCTGCTGTAGCTCTTGGCAATGCCATTGGCCTTGCAAAGCACTTGTAGGATCTTGGTCTCAAAGTTGTGGCCCTGATCACTGTAAATCTGACATGGAACACTGAAATGTACAAACCAAGAATGCACTAATCAGTAGCTACAGTTCAAAACAGTTGGTCAAGGGTGGGAATGGCATGCAGTGAACTTGGTGAAGATATCAGCACAACTAATATAATACAATTCAATACAGCAAAGGAACCAAGCTCTTCAGCCCACCAAGCCTATGCCAATTCTAATCCTTATTTAGACTCACTACTTATTGCCCATGTGCAGTTTCTATCCCTCTGTTCGCCTCCCATTCATGTGTCCATCAAGATATGCCTTAAATGTTGCTAACGTACCTGCTTCCATCCCCACCTCTGGTAGTGCATTCCAGACACCCAGGGTATACATAAATGTGCTCAATCTGGTTACTACTGTAGTCAAGGACCATAAAATTCACCACGAGAAACTCTAGAGATCTCTTCATGACTAGAAATCACATGCAGGGGTGAAGATGCTTCCCTGCTGCTAGAGTTCCTTTACATAAGCTTTCGGTTTATTCCCTTTAAAACTGTGCATTTGTTAGTCAGAAATGAAGCAATTTTATATAACCTCTGTCCACTTTATACTTTCATATGGATGCAAAGTGAAGTTTCTATGTTACTTAATATTAAATACAATCTTGTTTTAGTACTTCAATTTTAACTAAAATGTTACAATCATGTCCCAAGTTTTGTGCTTTAGTGTATCTGTAATCTTCTTGATCTACTTAGAAACTAAAAGCATTAATATATGAAAATGTCCAAATATTAGTATTACTGAAGATTGACAAACATTGTATAGTTCTGTATAACTTTCATGCAATTTAGAAGATAATACAATACCCACCTTTCTCACAACTTTGGTCATCTGAGGGTAGCATTAATAAGAGAAAGGAAAATATTCAAGAATATTAACATGCCAGTAAATATTAAGCTGGTTTATTTGGTTAGACGGGATATAAAGTTAAAATCAATGCTTTTCAAACATTCAGATTTATTCCAGTTGTAACTTCCTTTTCAAACAAAATGCATCAGCTGTGTCAGGATGAACCTTTATCTAATTGTCATGAGTAAAGAGGAGGAAGTTGGTCTCTATGATAACAGCCCCTGCTGATATCTTGTGTGTCCACTGTTCATTGGATTCAGATTTTTTCTGATGAAGAGGACATACCCAAACCTCATAACCAGTCTTTTCTCTTTCCAGTCGTCGACTGATCTGCTGAGCATTTCTGACAACTTCACTCGTATTTTTCAGATTTGCAGAATTTTCAGTTTTTCCTTCTTTTTATTCCAGTTGACAGTCTTTGGAGATGAGAACATTTTTCACTTAATTGTCAGAATCCGAAATGCTCAACTTGAAAAGTGGCAGAAACTGATTCCTCAAAAAAAATTTCAGAGAGTTGAACAGGTATTTGAAGATGAAGAGCTTGCAGGTTTACTGACTGAAAGCAGGGGTGTGGGGCAGAACATGACTGCTTTTTTTTGAAGTAAATTTCTATGCATTGGATTTAATGCATCAAATCACTGAAGGAACAACGGCAGCTCACTTAATTGTGGGAGAGGTCTCACATCAGTCTCTAGGTGGCAGCAAACCCTTCTGCCCAACCTCCCACCTGCCCCACCACCACCTGTTCCCCCATTAAATCATAAGGCGAAAGTGGCAGAAGACATGGGATCCAACAAGGCCCCGGTTAGGTTCATTATCAAATCAACTGACACTATTATCCCTAAGCTCACAGCAATTAACTGTCCGTTCATTGATTAAACATGGCTCTCCTGCAACCTAGGGTGAAGGGGTAGGGAGGGGGGAGGCTTTGAGAAAAGGCAATCCAGCCTATGTTTCAGCATTATAATTTGCAGATGCTGTTCTTACTCACGAGTTATCTATTTTATCCAGAAGAATAATTGCAATCATCAGACCTGAATGATGCCAAACTCTTCTAGCAGAATTGAATAACAGCAGTGGCAGGCTTTATTATATTTTATTCTTAACCATGTGGAGGGCACTGACATCAGTTGTGTTTCCTAGATGTTATCTGACTGCATCAACTAACGCATGGACTTTGCATTACAGGGTTCTAATGTTATAGTGGTAGTGTCAGGAGACCAAGGATCCAGTCCCACTTGCTCCAGAGGTGTGAAATAATGTCTCTGAACAGGTTGATTAGTACACGTAAAATTACAAAACCTACAATGTCCTTGGTCTTTGTCTCTACTATAGGAATGTTTAATCATTATTTTTGCAAAATCAGTCCTACATAATGATTTAGGTTCATTTTTCTAATTTTGAAGTATTTGGTTTTAGGAGGAGGTGATGGCCTAGTGGTATTATTGCTGGACTGTTAATCCAGAGACCCTGATAACGTTCTGGGGACCCGGGGTCAAATCCCACCACAGCAGATGATGGAATTTGAATTCAATAAAATATCTGGAATTAAGAATCTAATGATGACCTTGAATCCATTGTTGATTATCGGGAAAAACCCATCTGGCCCACTAATGTCCTTTAGGGAAGGAAACTGCCATCTTTACCTGGTCTGGCCTACATGTGACTCCAGGCCCACAGCAATATGGTTGACTCTGAACTGGCTTCTGGGCAATAATGACGGGCAATAAATGCTGCCTAGCCAGCGACGCCCTCATCCCGTTAATGAATAATAAACTGAAAATGCTGACCATGTTTTGAATATTGTCTTCTTGCCATAGTCATGCTTATGCCCACGATGAGGTAAACAACCTGGTCTCAGGTGCAGTATCAGTATTGTTGTGCTCTACAATTCTTGCAGAAGTAAGGCAATTGCACTTAAGAACAACAAATGTCCGTACAGCCAACAGCTGAGGCCCAAAGAGCTTGCCCAAATGAGGCAGTCATGTTGGAATCGCCATCATTTCTGTAATTCATACTCAATAACTCAACTGCTTCAGCAACTGGGAGTAACCCACAGGAACCTCAACATTTTAGTCCTGCTCAGCATTGTTTTTTGAACCACACTAAACCTTGGACAGTTAAAGCATAGACAGCAGGAAACAAAATGAAGGTAAGTGTATTTGTGTCTCCTTACAGGATGATCTTTTACTGCGCTTCTCTTGTTCCAAATTAGTTTTTTTTTGCCTGTAGGCAAGTCGTCTGAAAATAAAAAAGAGAATGTTGAAAAAGTATTCTGTCAACATTATCAAATCAAGGAAAAAGACACCCATGTTGGTACTCACACACTCATATTATAAGTTGCATATGTAACCTTGAAAGACTGTTTATCTAGAAAGTGCTCTTTTGGATACATCAATGGCTTAATTTGGAAGTATAGCATCCAATGTAGTATTGAGTCATAAAGCACAGGAAGATATAAGATTTGAAACCATATGTTTGGAATGGCTCATCTCAGCTGGGGCAGCGTGAGTGATAACTGCCTCTAATTTAGGGCGCAAAAATTGTTTGTAAGAACAAGATTTATTTGGTTTTGTTGTCCTATTGTTGCATTCTGGCATTAACTGTCCAGACTCTCCTGTGAACATTAGGCCAAGGTGTCAGAGAATAATTAGCAACTCAAGCTGTACTCAATTTGAACTATAATTTACTATACTATATCTTGCATTTTCTCAGTAACCTTGGTGAATAATAATTTTTGTTCTGTACATAATATGACATGGACAGTCATTATATTACACAAGGCAAATTTCTCGTACAGAATGGGCTTGATTTTGCTGACTGGTGTGGTTAACACCACTCACTCCTTTTAATGTGTTAATTGGACAACATCCCCACGTGTACCTTTAGGTGCACCAATCAGGAAGGTGCTGTAAAATGCCTCATTCCACCAAAAGTTGCACAATGCTGAGAATTTCACCTTTCAGATACATTGAACAATGTAAACTTGCTGTACTTATCTTGTTTGTCACATATTGATGACAAAAGCAATACTATGTGTTATTATCATATGAGCATTTGCAATGATAAGATAGAGTCAGATGTGTAGTTTCAGTTCTATGATTTTTAACAGATGATTTTGTATAGTGTATTAAAGCGATAAATTCTAAGAAGGCACTGATGCAGTAAATGCCTGGCAGGACATCTGTGGTGTTGGTGAATGTAATGTTTATACTGCTGAGTTTCTGACAATCAGAGAAAAACAGATCTGAGGCCAATAGTTTGGTGTTGACTTCAGAGCACTAGATTTCTATTGACAAGAGAATTTCACCCATATTGAAGTGTTTTAGGCTGTGAAGCCTCCAAACTATGAGACTTCATACAGAAATTCTCGCATTTTCAGAGCTGAAAAGCAGTTTAGGCCATCAGAATTGAAAAAAGTTCATATCAGCAAACTTGAGGGGGATGTCATAAAAAGGTCCCAGCAGTCCAAGAAGGACAGAGTCAATAAAGTAAGAAATCAAAGAATTGATGTCAGGTGATATTTCTCTGGGATTAAGTACATATAAAATAAATTGTTGGGAATTACATTGAAACTTTATTTTGCTGTTTATATTAATATCTTTTTCAACTATCTCATTTGCTTCGCTTTTTTTCTTTTGTGTCTGGAACTTGTGTACTTTTCTTAAAGAATATAGGCAGCCTTGTGTTATATGATCAGTGATTGACCACTGTAGTAACTGATAAAATTAAACCTATGATCCATCAAGCCAGGTTTCATTCTGGGATCTGATTAGTCCAAAATGACCATTGGCTGGGATCATAACATATTAAATCCATACCAAAAAAAGGCTTCTCATTCCAGTCTGAAAACCCTTTTTAGTAAAATAGTAAATGTTAACTGCTATCAATCATTCTCTCTGGCATAATAGTTAACAAACACGGAACCATGTTCTTTCTGATTTTCATTATTTTCAGGGATATTAAAAATAAAATCCTGTAATTTTAAAAATTTCTCTGTTTATTTCTCTCTCTTAATCCAATTCACCTTCTCTCATTTTGCTTTCTTTATCTGATTTGACATTTAATTTAATACTCTAACTTTGACATCCTGGGTCACACCCTGCTCTGCAAATAATTCTTTATCTGATTGATTCAGGAGCTAGACAATTTCTTGTTCTGTTCACATGTCAGAGATTTCCTATAGAGCATGTTGTAATTTTTCAATGATTCGCTGAAAGGAGCATTTAGCCCAAAGCCCATAATAAAATGTGGATATGTGAAAATATAACAAATTGAAAATTAATTCCATGTTATTTTATAGGAAAACCCCACACGATAATTTTATGGCAGATGAGAATGAAAGAACGCTACGGAGTCTCATTAGTTGTATCATTACCGCTAAAAGAATATATGTTTGTGCAGTATTTCCAATAAATTAAGCTACAATATATTCTTACAAAACTTGTCCAACTAAAGGAAGCTCATAGTTGTCCCAAATGCATCAATTTTAATTGCAAAAATAACATAGCAACATTGTACACATCATTCATTTCTGATTATTAATGAGGTGAAGCTACCTTGAACATGTTCAGTTTTAATTCCCCTGTAGTATTGGCTAACAAAAAGAACAATTGAAATGTATTGGATAACGTTTGTGTTGCATTGTTGGTGGAGCAGAACTTTTGTCATTTGAGAACAAACATAATTTAGGTAGATAACATAAAAAGATAATGATCATAAGACTTAAACTTCTGTGTAGCTGAATATCTATTGTTAAGCCACTGAAATTTGATAGATAAGTCAGATAATATTGTAAATTCTAAACCATCTTCGACCTATGAGCCACTAAGAACAAAAATGTGCAGCAACATACTTCTCTTGAAACTTTTTTGATGGAATAAGGCCCGCTCGCAGGTTTGCATCTCCCACACGCTTTGCTTGCCACCACACAGAGTCGTCCTGGCTCACAACCTGAAGGACATCCCCTTTCCTGAAAGGTAACCCTGCTTCTTTGCAGGGAATCGCTTTATCCTCACTTGGGTCATAGTCAAATAAGGCTCTCACATGTACCTATGGAAAAAAAATATCATTAATTTAGAACCAATTGCGTAAAAACACTGCTGCGGCTTTCCCAGGTAACCTATTCTGCAAATCCAGTGTTCTTTTTAAGTGAAAAAGAATTGTCTGACTTTTTATAGTTTATTTATTTTTAATTTATCCACTGTAGTAAAAATTTACCATGGTAAAATTTCTTCGTAAATTTGTAAACTTCATTTTGGGACACATCAGTGACTTTTATTTCACTAAAGAATTCCAGGTCCGTTAATGATTACCCAACTTCTAATAGCTGAAATAGTCTTCATTTCTTACCTTTGTACTTTGCCAAGATGAATATCCTTCCTATGGTTAGGTGACCAGACCAGATGGATCTGACACCTTCTAAAACAATTTTGTTGATTTTCATTCTGCAAATATTGTTTACTACTTTCCCCCTTGCTGATAGATTTGTATTCTTTTCCATTATGAACAGTAGTGGTTGCTGATCAGTATGGCTCACTATGTTTTCCATTTAAAGCCAACAATCTTGTTTTGGTTCCTTGCCCCAAAGCAATTACTTTAGTTACCCATATTAAATTATGTCTGTCACCTACTTGCCCTGCTTCCTACAAGGTTTTAAAATAGTACTGTTTCAAACTTTAAACCCTGGGGCTGGGGCAGGGGATCTCATTCACAACCTCTTTCAAGCCTGGAGAGTTCCCATTTCAGGCTAACTTGTTTCCTAAATTTGAGCCAATTACTTAATCAGCAGCATACTTTACCTCCTATTCCGTGGCTCCTTACCTTAGCCCTTAATCGTCGACGTGGAGCCTTGTGTAAAGCTTTCTGAAAATCCAAGTATAAAATATCAACTTATAATGCTGCTGCATTTCTTGCATTTCTGTTCACAATCAAGAGAATTATCTTAGAACTAAAAAGTTATTTGACTATATATTCAGTTGGCATCAGCTTTATCTTGATGAGTAGTTTTGTACAGGGTTTAAGTTCAGATGCCTCCATTTACCTCTTTTCCCCGAGTAACTGAGCTGATCCCCAACAAAAACTTAACCTCATTCTTCAGAGTGCACTGAATGCAGAACTCAGCTCCACACTGGTTGTGAACAGAACAACTTCTGCTTGATTTTGTATCTTGCACTGTGCCTTATAATGTTGTTTGTTTTTCATTCACTAAGTTTACCCTTTTCACTCCTACTGTACATTGAGAAGGTTAAGAAGCCTTCAATGTGGTATGACAAGGCATGAGCATGTCATACACTGCAATATAGATGTCATTAACAGCCAAGACAATAATACTATGCTATAGCATAAAGTTTCAACATTTGGGGCTATTCAGCCCCTGCCTGGAACCAGGATTCAAAACAGGCACATTGGATGGTTTGTGAAAAACTAGCCGACTAATAGTTTTATAAAATCTATAGCAGTGATTAACTTCAGCAGAAAATAAGAATGGTCTGGTACAGTATTATAGTTAATAAAATCCATGGTTCTTCTGGAGCTTCACTTAAAATATTCAATCAGGGCCTGAAAGCAAGCTATTTAGGACCACAGCCATGAGGCAGTGGGAGTTGATTTCAATGGCCCTGGATTAGAGATGAGAGAGAAAAAGTAGCTGGGGTTCCAATTTGGACTGATGAACCAGTAAATCCTGCTAGTACGTGCGCAGGTGTGAGCACGAGATAAAAATGCAATTAAATGTGTCTGTGATTTTCCATAATAGAATAGCCCCCATTTTGTAGAATTGTGTGTTAAGAATTAGTGTGTGAATGAGGTTCTGAAAAATCTTTGCAAAGCCTTACCTCAGCATTGATCAACACCTTCAGGAGCATAAGAGGTAATGAACAGAATAAATAATTCCGGTAATAATGTTTTAAAATAGCATTAATAATAGTAGGTGGTTTGTATTATGATAATAACAAATGCTTCCTGCACTTCTGTGAGATGTTGGATAGTAAATGTTTGTATGTATCTAAAAATGATAGAAGCAAAATAACTTTTAAATGTTTCATAGGGTCTGGTACAATTTGTTCCATATATTGAAATGAGTTAAATTAGATTGCATTTCGACAATGTGCTGCTTGTAATAACAATTAGAACTTTAGTAGCAGAAAGGACAGATCAATGAGATATAAGCATCAGCCTGTAATGGACTGTGATTTGTTTTATTTATAAACTAAGGAGAGATGTCAAGTTTCACACCACAAGACACCATCAAGATTGAAAATTAGAGATAAAGAAAATCTAAATCAATATATTCAGATTATATTAAGCTTGAGTTCTATGATGATTATAAAGCAGGAAGGATAAAACTGATGAATATCAGGAACTTAGAATTTTGAGGCTGTGGACAAATGTAAAATGTACATAGAGGCTGTGCATCATAAAAATCGACAGTTAATGTTTAAACTGTAGTGTGATCTCTTGTCTTGGTTTCAGCTGATTGACAGAGTCTGAGAAAAATTGCTGCATTTTCTTTTTCTCTTTTTGACATTTTGTTGCCTCTCCCATGATATTACCCAGGTGTGGGGTGGTGGTATGATGAACCCACTGATTTCTCTTATCTGTTATTTTCTGTTGTTTATATTTGGAGAGAAGTGACACATGGGCCACAATTAAATTGTTGCAATAGAAAATTGAAATAGAGAGAAAGTTTGGGCTACAAGGAAGAAAAGAAATATCTATTCGATACCAACCTTTATCCTTTAACTAAAAAAGGTTAGGTTATTAGAACAACATTCCCAAGAATGGTTATAGGTTGCAAGCCTTGGATAGATGAGTTTAATAGAATGTTCAGAGTTGTTTTGGTACTAAGTGAAAGAGAAAGAACATTTCTGGAGCCTGCTTTCGCTATGAAGAAGATATGAAAATCTCATTTATGATCATGGGACATAATAAACTCAGTAATGATAGGGTGAAGCCAATGAAAATAAGAGCTATTACTTGTTGATTAGGCTTATTAGATACATGAAGAAGTTGCATATTTTTAGACTTGGAAGAATTAAGAATTTTATCAAGAGCACAGGGAAGGTCAGAAAATAGTTGCTGGGCTGTTGCAATGCAAACAAGACTATCGACTGCATTCGTTCTACAGGAAGTTGTTGATTGGAATTATCTGAAAAGCAATTTGATCTGCTTAGATAATGTTTGGAATTGGTCATTTCAATGAAAGAGAAAGAGAGAGTGAGCAAGAAGACTCTAAGTTAATTGGAAAAGAATGTGGGATAAACTGCCACCCACAAAACAGACAAGAAAGATGGGGTTGTTGAATTGCTCACCGAGCTGGTTTGGTTTTGTTCAGATGTTTCGTCACCATGCTGGGTGACATCAGTGGAGCCTCCAATGAAGCGATGTTATTCTACTCCGCTTGGGATTTATACTGTCCGGTCTGTTATGGTGAGTACTGTCATTTCCGGTTTTGATCTGTATGGGTTATATATGGGGTCTACTTCTATATGTTTGTTGATTGAAGTATGGGTGGAGAATCATGCCTCTAGGAATTCCCGTGCATGTCTATGCTTGGCTTGGGCTACTATGGTTACCTTGTCCCAGTTATTAAATAATACAGATATTAATATCTGTACATTCAGACAATGAAGGGCATCAGTTTAACAGTATTCCAAGAGGAGTAGAACAACATCACTTCATCGGAGGCTCCACTGATGATGTCACCTAGTATGGTAAAGAAACATCTGAACAAAAACAAGCCAGCTCGGCGAGCAAGTCAACAACCTCATCCACAACCCAAGCTACAGATTTTTGCCAGGAATTTAAACAAGAAAGATAGGAACGGCAGTAAGAGATTGAAATGATGATGTGGGACAGTGTAAGTTCAGAAGCACATGTTTTGAGGCAAAGAGGTGAAATCAGGACCAGAGATCTTACTGCAGTCCTGAAAGCAAACCCATTGAAAGTGAAACTTGCTGTCAGTCACAGCCAAAATGTCCTTCACCAGAAATTCTTGGAGGATAACAGTGAGAACCATTAGAGCAGTCTTTGGAAAAATCAGCAGCTGCACCATCAGAAGAAAAGCACAACATTTATAAAATGCAACTTCATTGTGAATGATTTGCAGAAGAGGCAGAAGGACACCTATTGGAATTTCATTTTCTGAAAATGAACTTTTCAGCTTTGATAACAACAGCATTTAGTAGCATCTGATTAGAGGCGTATGGTGTGAATTTTTTGAAGGACCAAGTGACACTGACATGCTGTAGTATCCCCAGCAGTAAAGGAGAGAAAGATGTCACCTTTCTAGACCTGCTGGGAAACATCACTTGCACAGGTTGAAGGATTATAAGAATTAAATTGAATGAACAAAAACAGCAGTTGGAGCAAATCTGTCACCAACAGAAAGACAGAAGTACCACAGTGATATTTTCTTAACTGTTTCAATTTTTCTGAGAACATTATACCATTTTTTGAAAGTGACCTTCATCCACCTACTCCCAACTTCCATCTTAGTGTCCTATATGGATAAATGTTTCTGAGCAAGATGTACAGCAGACATCTTTTGCATCAAGGAATGGGAAATGTGGGAAATCACTAACAAGTTTCTTGTGACAAAGCCCATCTTTGAACTACCATGGTGCAAGTTGTCCTTGCTATAACACACTGGGGCATCCAAGCTCCACTGCTCAGGTCTCAGTGCAATTCTGTTACGCACTGTGGAGAGACACAAACAATTCTGCATGCTACGAAGGAGTGTTCTCTCTTCAAACTAAGCAGCAGACTGCCCGAAACTCATAAAATGAAGTGGCTATTGAGTGCCTTTGAGGATTTGCCTTAACTAAATAATAATAATTATCTGCAACAAGCCTACCCAATTTCAACCATTTAAACCCTACTTACTCTCCTCTTCAGCAATACCCGGTGTCTTTTCTCCAATAACACATTTATTTGCATTGGTCTATTGACATACATGTTTTTCACCATTGTGAATATGGGGGCTAATTTTGTGGATTTAATGGGGGTATCAGCCATTGTATAGAGAGTCAACATAACATGTGACAAATTACAAGGCAATCAGGCAATGAACAGGTCACCAGCAGGCCTTCCATTGGGATCAAGATCCAGGAAGTAAGAAATCCCACTCGCTAAGAGGTGCTGGTCAATCTGATATCAAGGGGCTAGTGACTGCTGTGGGGAATATATTTTCCATAGAATCAGCATTGTAGAGTAAGTGTTGGTAGGAAAGGTTTTGAACAGTTAGTAGCATCAACAGCGGACGGTTGTCAGTGGAAGTTTCTGAGTGCATATAAATGAGGGTCTCTGCCCCCTTTGCCACTCCAGGGGACCACAATCAAGCTGCCTCAGTTTCCAGCGTGATTACAGATCTACTTAGTGATGCCTGTAAGAAAGCAGTGGTAAAATCCATCAGTTGGTGGTGTGTGGGCAGGTCTTCATGGCTTTTTCCACCACGAACATGATTAAAATGCAAGTAGAAAAGTGATGAGGTCCTCACCAGTGACATTCCTGCCCCATTAACTATTGGCCCCCAACAAGCATGACCCAGAGGACAGCATTAAATATTGCCCAGTGCCTCCAGGTCAACTTCTCTAATTTGAGTTCTTATTTAGAACACCTGTATTAAGTCATTTTTTTAACTTTCTCATTTTTTTTACTATTAGCCAGATATTCACCATTTCAAGCCTCCTACATATTAGTGTACATTGCTAAGATAATCTTTGTCAAATGCTTGTTCAAGCTATTAACAATACAACATCCTCTGTTAATTAATAAAATGAAGCATCTTTATTACTGCTTGAGCCTGCCCAAAAATCATACACTCTCCTTACCTTAGTTTCATTAAGCTGGTCCTCTTCCTTGACAGCTGGAATTAGCTTTAATGTTATTGAACCCTGACACTGGGCCTGCACAGATAAAAGATTGAAAAAGTTAAACTGGTGTATCAGGTGGGACCTTTTCCCTTTCCTTCAGTTCATTTCAGTTACAGTCAATTTCTTTTTTTAAACTGAGGCTAAAACACGTTCAACATTTTACAAAAATTGTTTTACAAACAGTTCCAGGTTTGCTCATGCTGTCAGGTCATTTTGAGGAGTGATTTAAAACTATAACTTACACCTCATCGGGAGCTTCCTATCTACTATCTTTGTTATTTAACATTATTATGTTCTCAACTGTGCAATGAGGTCTGCTGGTGAGATGACATTAAAAAGGCTGCAGAAAGATGAATAAAAATGCTCCAAGAGAGGAGAAACTTTAGTTTATTGGGTAACTTGAAGAAAATTGCACTGTTCTCCTTCGAGAACATCAGCTGTCACATGACACCAGGCTATAGTCCAAAAGGTTTATGAGAAATCCCAAGCTTTCAGAGCACAGCCCTTTCATCAGGTGAAGTGAGATAGAACCACACAGAATTTATGGGCAGAGAGATCAAAAGATCATACAAATCTGCAAAAGTAGTAGACTCGCCAACTTTAAGGGCATTTAAATGGTCATTGGATAAACATATGGATGAATGGAATAGTGTAGGTTAGATGGGCTTCAGATTGGTTTCACAGGTCGGCACAACATCGAGGGCCGAAGGGCCTGTACTGCGCTGTAATGTTCTATGTTCTATGTTCTATGTTCTAAATGGTGTGAGTGGAGTGTCAAATAATAAGTCTCCGCAGGTGATCAAAAGTGTTAGACGGTGTGATTAAAGTATCAACAGCTGAATAACAAAAATGCTGACTAGGCCAGCATTTATAGCCCATCCCTTGTTGCCCAGAGGGCAGTTAAGAATCAACCACATTGCTGTGGGTCTGGAGTCACGTATAGGCCAGACCAGGTAAAGATGGCAGTTTCCTTCCCTAGAGGGCATTAATGAACCAGATGGGTTTTTCTGACAATCGGCAATGGATTCATGGTCATCATTAGATTTGCAATTCCAGCAATTTTTAAATTGAATTCAAATTTCACTGTCTGCCATGGTGGGATTTGTACCTGGGTCTGTAGAATATACCTGGGTGTCTGGACTAGCAATAATACCACAAGGCCATAACCTCCTTTTATCAAGATGATGGTGTCAAAACAGGACCATAAGGAAGATTTTATAGAACAGTGTGGTGGGGCCACATGTATTGTGCCATGAACACAAGATCACGGTTGAGGCTGTCTTTATGGGTATGGAACTTGGCTACCAGTTTATATTGGGTGATTCTGCGTTGTTGTGTATCTCTAAGGCCACCTTGGAGGATGCTTACCCGAAGATTGGAAGCTGAATGTCCTTGAGAGCTGAAGTGTTCCCTGACTGGGAGGGAACATTCCTGTTTGGTGATTGTTGCACGGTGTCCATTCATCTGTTGTCGTGGCGTCAGCATGGTCTTTCCAACTTGCCGTGCCTTGGGACATCTTTGCTGTGGCGTACGAGATCGACGAAATTGGCCGAGTCACGTGAGTGTCTGTCGTATACGTGGTGGGTGGTGTTCCCAAGTGTGATGGCAGTGTCCATGTCGATGATCTGACATGTCTTGCAGAGGTTGCCATGGCAACCTGTGATGTGCGATTGATGTTGTCTGGGTAGGCTGGGTAGTTTGCAGCGAATGATGATCTCTTTAAAGTTTGGTGGTTGTTTGGAGGCGAGAAATGGAGGAGGAGGGATGATCTTGGCGAGATACTCGTCGTCATCGATGACCTATTGAAGGCTGCAAAGAGCATGGTGAAGTATCTCCACTCTGGGGAAGTACTGGACAACGAAGGGTACTCTATCGGCCATTTCCTCTGTCTGTCTTCTGAGGAGGTCATTGCAGTTTTGCGCTGTGGCATGTCGGAACTGGCAATCAATGAGTTGAGCGCTGTATCCTGTTCTTATGAGGTTGTCCCTCAAGATCTTTAGGTGTCCATCACATTCCCCCTCATCTGAGCAAATCCTGTGTATGTGCAGGGCTTGTCCGGAGGGCAAGGTTTCTCTAATACGTTTAGGATGGAAGCTAGAGAAGTGCAGTATCCTGAAGTTATCCGTGGGCATGCAGTAGAGTGAGGTACTGTGATGTCCATCCTTGATGGAGACGCATGTGCCCAAGAATGAGACTGATTCTGAAGAGTAGTCCATGGTATGTCTGATGGTGGGATAAAACTTGTTGATATGGCTATGTAGCCGTTTCGGTGATTCCTAGCCATGAGAAACTGATAGCCAAGTTCTGTATCATGAAGATGGCCTCAACCATGATATTGGGATCATGTTGCATTATATGTGACCCCACCACACTATTTGTATCTGTAAAATCATCTTTACTGTCCTGTTTTGACACCATCACCTTGATAATTTGTTATTAATTCTCTACCTTAAATAGTTTGTACAGTTTGGGATTACTTATTACTTTGGTTAGACACTTAACATGTGACTGTTATACCTATTATGTTATTCCAGTCATGTGGTTTGTCTCCAGCACTACCTTATTTTCAATTTTTTGTAATTATCTCTCTGCCTCATTTAATCAGATTATAGGGTATCCCTTGGCTTGTTATTCAGCTGTTGACATTTTACTCACATCATCCAACACTTTTGATCAACTGCTTTGATTTATTATTTGACACTCCACTCACACCATTTGTATGATCTTTTGATCTCTCTGCCCTTGATCTCTCTGCCTATACATTCGGTATTCTGTGTGCTTCTCTCTCACTTCACCTGACAAAGGGGCTACACTCTGAAAGCTTGTGACTTCAAATAAACCTGTTGGACTATAACCTGGTGTTGTGTGACTTTTGACTTTGTCCATCACAGTCCAAAATCGGCACCTCCACATCTTAGAGAAGACGAAGAAAAGATTTGATAGAGGTGTTCGAAATCACAAGGAGTCTGGGCAGAGTAGAGAGGAAGAAACTATTCCTATTTCTGGGGATTTGAGAGCCAGATAATATTGATTTAAAGTAACTGACAAAAGAAGAAAAGGTGATGTTGGAAATTTCTTTTACGCAGTGAGTGGTTCGTCTTTGGAATGCACTGTCTGAGAGTGAGGCAAATTCAGTCATTGATTTCAAAACAGAAATAGATAATGAATTGCAGAAAAACATTTTCAGGTCTTCTCGGGAAAGACAGAAGAGTGGGACTAGGTGAATTGCTGTCGCAGAGAGCTGGTACATCATAATGGGCCAAATGACCACCCCCGTGCTGTAATCATCCTATGGTTTTATGGCATGGAAATTATTGGTGAGATATTATCATCAAACAGTGATTTTATCTGCAGCATTTTGTTTTCTTCGTTGATTTTGGAAAGGTTTTAACATGTGTAAAGAGGTTAATGCTACTGCCAATAAGGGCAGGTGGTGGCACAGTGATAATATCGCTGGATTAAGTGATCCAGAGACATAGGCTAATGTTGCAGGGACAAAACCAGAATTTGCTAAAAAGGGTCAGCAGGTCTGGCGGCATCTGTGAAGAGAAATCAGGGTTAACGTTTCAGGTCCAGTGACGTTTCCTCAGAACCCGGGTTCCTCAGAACCGACTGGTAAATGTAAATTCGATAAAATGGATAATAAAAGTTAGAACATAAGAACATAAGAACTAGGAGCAGGAGTGGGCCATCTGGCCCCTCGAGCCTGCCCCGCCATTTAATAAGATCATGGCTGATCTTTTTGAGACTCAGCTCCACTTACCCGCCCACTCACCATAACCCTTAATTCCTTTACTGTTCAAAAATTTATCTAGCCTTGCCTTAAAAACATTCAGCGAGGTAGCTTCAACCGCTTCACTGGGCCGGGAATTCCACAGATTCACAACCCTTTGGGTGAAGAAGTTCCTCCTGACCTCAGTCCTACATCTGCTTCCCTTTATTTTGAGGCAATTCCCTCTAGTCCTAGTTTCACCTGCTAGCGGAAACAACCTCCCTGCCTCCACTTTATCTATTCCCTTCATAACCTTATATGTTTCTATAAGATCTCCCCTCATTCTTCTGAATTCCAATGAGTATAATCCCAGTCTACTCAGTCTCTCCTCATAATCCAACCCTCTCAACTCTGGAATCAACTGAGTGAATCTCCTCTGCACCCCCTCCAGTGCTAGTATATCTCTTCTCAAGTAAGGAGACCAAAACTGCACACTACTCCAGGTGTGGCCTCACCAGGACCCTATACAGCTGCAGCATAGCCTCCCTGTTTTTAAACTCCATCCCTCTAGCAATGACAGGCAAAATTCCATTTGCCTTTTTAATCACCTGCTGCACCTGCAATCCTACTTTTAGCGATTCATGCACAAGGACACCCAAGTCCCTCTGCACAGCAGCATGCTGCAATTTTTTACCATTTAAAACATAGTCCATTTTGCTGTTATTCCTACCAAAATGGATGACCTCACACTTATCAACATTGTACTCCATCTGCCAGACCTTTGCCCACTCACTTAGACTATCTATATCCCTCTGCAGACTTTCAGTGTCTTCTGCACACTTTGCCCTACCACTCATCTTAGTGTCATCTTCAAATTTTGACACACCACACTTAGTCCCTAACTCCAAATCATCTATTTAAACTGTAAACAATTGCAGTCCCAACACTGATCCCTGAGGCACACCACTAGCCACTGACCGCCAACCAGAAAAACACCCATTTGCCCCTACTGTTCGCTTTCTACTGGTCAACCAATCGTCTATCCATGCCAATCCATTACCTGTAATACCGTGCAACTTTATCTTATGTAGCAGCCTTTGGTGTGGCACCTTGTCAAATGCCTTCTGGAAATCCAGATACACCACATCCGCAGGTTCCCCATTGTCCACCATGCAAGTAATGTCCTCAAAGAATTCCACCAAATTAGTTAAACATGACCTACCCTTCATGAACCCATGCTGGGTGTTCCCAATGGGACAACTTATATCCTGATGTCTTGCTATTTCTTCCTTAATGATAGATTCAAGCATTTTCCCCATACTGAAGTTAAGCTAACTGGCCTATAGTTACCTGCTTTTTGTCTACTTCCTTTTTTAAACAGTGGCGTCACATTGGCTGTTTTCCAATCTGCAGGAACCACCCCAGAGTCCAGTGAATTTTTGGTAAATAATTACTAGTGCATTTGCTATTTTCCCCCATCACCTCTTTTAGTACCCTGGGGTGCATTTCATCAGGGCCAGGAGACTTGTCTACCTTTAGCCCCATTAGCTTGCCCAGCACTGCCTCCTTAGTGATGATGATAGTTTCTAGGTCCTCACCTGCTATAATCTTCTTGCCATTAGTTTTCGGCATGTTATTTGTGTCTTCCACAGTGAAGACCGACACGAAATAACTGTTTAATGTCTTGGCTATTTCCTCATTCCCAATTATTAAATTGGCCTTCTCATCCTCTAAAGGACGAATGTTTACCTTCGCCACTCTTTTACGATTTACATATTTATAGAAACTTTTGCTGCCTGTTTTTATATTCTGAGCTAGTTTACTCTCATATAATCTATCTTACTTTTCTTTATAACATTTTTTTGTGGCTTTCTGTTGGCCTTTAAAGATTTCCCAGTCTACTAGTTTCCCACTACTCTGTGCTTTTTTGTATGTGTTTTTTTCAATCTGATACTTTCCTTTATTTCCTTAGACATCCATGGCTGGCTCTCTCTTTTCTTACAGTTCTTCCTTATCACTGGAATATACTTCTGCTGAGCACTGTGAAAAATCGTTTTGAAAGTCCTCCACTGTTCCTCAATTGACCCACCATAAAGTTTTTGCTCCCATTCTACCTTAGCTAACTCCTCCCTCATTCCTTCATAGTCTCCTTTGTTTAAGCACAGGACATAGGTACTGGATTTAACCTTCTCACGCTCCATCTGTATTTTAAATTCGACCATACTGTGATCACTCCTTCCAAGAGGATCCCTAACTGTGAGATCATTAATTATTCCTGTCTCATTACACAGGACTAGATCTAGGATAGCTTGCTCCCTCGTAGGTTCCATTACATATTGTTCAAGGAAATTATCACGTTCAAGTTAAGAAGTAGTCTAAAAGCAATTCACTTAAAACAACAAATTTTGGCCTTGCCAGTGACACCAGCATTGCATAAAAGAGTCTTTTAAAAAATGTTGTATCAGAATTTTGAAGAAGAAACTTAAGCATTTGTAGCTACAATAATATTCAACATTACATGCAAATCACATATCATATACATTTTTATATTTAACTCTGGCATTTTATTTATGTTTTGAGATGTTTAGCATTAGATTTGCATGATACACGTTTTAATCCTTCTGCCCAATTATTGTGTAATTGCTTTGCCTTGAAGCAAACTTCCACTTGTAAAATCAGTGCTAATGGCTAATGACTTTACCCAGAATCAGTTGCTTAATAGATCAGTACAGTTCGTTCATAACCTAACAAAAGGGACTATTGTTCCTGGGCTGTCATTAACAAAAGAGAGGAAAGTTTAAGATCATCAGGCCTTATTAAGTATCTAGCCAACAGCTAAGGAAGTCAATACATGCATGACAGTAAGGAAAAGTTAATCAAATCAGGGATCTAATTTCTAGCTAAGTAGCTATCAGCAAGTCTTAATGCTTTGTAAAGATCATATTATCTCTGTTTTCAATTACAACACCAGTCTAAATTTAGCTGGAATGTTTATTAATACATTATATTGTACAAAATATATTGAGAATTTAGATGAACTGACATAAAAGGTGCCTTCATGCAAAATCAAAGGATGAAGAAATAACACCTACAAAAATAAAACCTCCTTTAAAACTTTATTTACAAAGAGTAATTATATACCAGAATCTGACTGATTTCTTCAGGCGTCTTGTGCTCAACTGGGATTTCATTGACCTCTCTCAGTTCATCTCCAACATGAACTAAACCTGCAGAATAAAAAAGAAAGTCTTCAGAGAGGAATATAAAAACATAGAACTCAGGAGCAGGAGTAGGCCATTTGGCTGTTTGAGCCTCCTGTTTAAATACTTCAAACGATCTAGCATCCATGATTCTCTGGGTACAGAATTCCAGACTTTCACTATACTTTGGGAGAAGAAGTTCCTTTGCATCTCAGTTTTAAATAAATAATAGCATCATACAGTCATAAAGCATGACAACCAAGTTTCCCAAACTAAACTAGTTCCACTTGCCTGTATTTGACCCATTAACCCGTAACAATTTCGTATTCAGGTACCTGTCCAAATGTCTTTTAAATTGTTGTAACTGCAGGTACAATTCTTCTGGTGGTTCATTCCACATATGAACCCACCCCCTGTGTGGAGAAAAAAGTTGCTTCTCAGGTCCCTTAAGTCTTTCCCATCTCACCTTAAAAAAATGCCTTCCTATTTATGAACTCCCTCACCTTAGGGAAAATATTTTTGCTATTCACCATATCTATGCTCCTCATGATTTTATAAACCTCTATAAGGTCACCCTCAACCTCCTATGCTCCAGGGGAAAAAGCCCCAGCCTATCCAACCTGTACCTATAACTCAAGTTTTCCAGTCCCGGCAACATCTTGGTAAAGCTTTTCTGAACCCCCTCCAATTGTCCCATTACGTCTGTGACTCTGTCCCATGGATCAAAGTTTCCCATTTAGTGGAAACATCTTCTTAACATCTATCTTGCTCCCTCAGAATCTTGTGTGTTTCAATGAGATTACCGCTCATTCTTCAAAACTCTGATGAATAAAGGCATAATCTGTTTAGCTGTTCTTGATGCCTCAACCACTCCATCCCAAAATCAGCCTGGAGAATCTCTTTTGAATTGCCTGCATTGCAAGTTTTTCAGTTTTTTAAATACCAAAACTGCTCTCAGTACTCCAGGTGCGGCCTCACCAATATTATTTACACTTGAAAACTGTGTCATGGACACCTTCTGCTGGACAACTAACTACATTTCAGATAGAGATGGAGCAAAAATATAAAGCTGCAAATGAAATTAATAAGAATGGCGACACAGTGGCTCTGTGTTTGCACTGCTGCCTCAAAGCACCAAGGACCTGAGTTCAATTCCAGCCTTGGGTAATTGTCTGTCTGTGTGGAGTTTGCACATTTGCCTTGTGTCTGCGTGGGTTTCTTTCCACAGTACAAAGATGTGCAGGTTAGGTGGATTGGACATGCTAAATTATCTGTAGTGTTCAGGGATGTGCTGGCAAGGTGGGAAATACAGGGATCGGATGGGTGGCTGTGTCTGGGTGGGATGCTGTTTGGACGGTCAGTGTGGACTTGATGTCCTCTTTCCATACTGAAGGGATTTTATGATGATAACAGGAAGATGGAATCTCGAGGTATGGGGGGAATAAAATGTCGAAACTAGTGAGAAATGATGAGAACAAGTGAAAGTGTGTGAAGTGTGAATCAGCCACCACTCTTTTCTCCACCTCCTGGTCTGGCTGTGGGCCTCCAAAAGCAGAGGTAATTAGACAATGGCTAGAATTTTTCACTGAAACAGATTTGCACATCATTGCAACATGACAGCCTTTTGCTTGCCCGTGAGGCAGGACAGTCTTTTCCAGGTTTCAGGGCATGTTAAATATTGGTGGAGGCCAATGCAGCCTTTTGAATGCTCCCTCTGATTTTCCAACCCCACTCTATGCTATAGTGACCACAAATGCCAGAATTACATTCTCAAGTTCCAAAATTTCCAGGATATAAATAATGTTAATGATTGTTTCCCTTCATTATCAAAATACGCATGGCCTCATAAGAATGTGTCATTGGTCATTTCTGGCAGAAAGCTTACGAGGGACAGAAACAAGTGGGGAGCTGTGGAAATAACTGCCAAAAGAATCACCTTCCCCTGTGCTCTGTAGTTATGCCAAGAATCGAATCTAAGAGCAGTGGAGAATGCCATATGGTTACTGTAGTTTGAGGATCCCATGCAGTAATAGATGCAAAGAAAAGATATTGAATTGTCAAAGTGCAGCACTATCCAAAGTGACAAAGAGCTAAAGTAGAATTCTACAAAATCTGATAAATATTTGAAAATTTTCAAATATTTGAGGGAAGTGCAAATAAGCAGCAATAATTGAATAGTTCATTAAACACCCGGCACAGGCAAGCTGGGTTGAATGGCCTCTTTCTGAGCCATAGGTTCATGATTCTGTAACAAGTATGTTTTCCCCAGTGCAGTGTGAAGGACACTTACCGCTGCGGTCTGCGGCCCCACCGCGCATGATCCGTGCAACAACAACGGCGCCTGTTTGTTCATCCATCCTGATGGTCGCTCCCTGTTGGGCAAGAAAGGCTTGCATTTATCAAGAGACATAGTAAGAACTGCTGATGCTGGAGCCTGAGATAACACAGTAAGGAGCTAGAAGAACACAGCAGGCTAGGCAGCATCAGAGGAGCAGGAAAGCTGACGTTTCGGGTTGGGACCCTTCAGAAATGGGGGAGGGGGAAGGGAGCTCTGAAATAAATAGAGAGAGGAGGGGTGGGACTGGGTAAAGTAGGTGGGATAGGTCCATCACACTACCTTCCCTAGCCTCACCCCTCCTCTTTCTATTTATTTCAGAGCTCCCTTCCCCCTCCCCCATTTCTGAAGGGTCCTGACCTGAAATGTCAGCTTTCCTGCTCCTCTGATACCGTTAGTCTTACATTTATGCAGTACCTTTCAACACCACTGGCCATCTCAAAATGCTCTACAACTTACAACCAAAGAAGTATTTTTGAAATGTAGTTACAGTTGCAATGTAGGAAATGCAGCAGCCAATTTACCACGGATAGCTCCCACAAATAGAAATATGATAATGAGCAGATAGTTTGTTTCTTTTCATATGATGTTAAATAAAAGGTAAATATTATTGACTGGAACACCCAGAAATAACACCCAGCTCTGTTTTAAAATAGTGCAATAGAATTTTTAACAGATACAACGGGCTGAGGAGTGCCAGATGGATTTGAAGTGGCAGATGGATTTTACTTTAGATAAATGTGAGGTGTTGTATTTGGTAAGGAAAATCATTGCAGGATGTATACACTTAACAGTAGGGTCCTGGGGAGTGTCTATGAACAAAGAGACCTTGGCGTAGTTTCATAGTTCCTTGAAAGTGGAGTTGCAGGTAGAGAGTGTATTGAAGAAGGTGTCGGGTATGCTTGCTTTCATTGGTCAGTGCATTGAATATAAGAATTGGGATGTCCTGTTGCATCTGTACAGGGACATTAGTTAGCCACTTTTGGAATGCTGTGTTCAATTCTTGTCTCTCTGCTATAGGAAAGATGTCATTAAACTCGAAATTATGCAAAAAAGATTTTACAAGGATGTTGCCAAGATTGGAGAGTTTAAGCTATGGGAAGAGCCTGAATAGGAAGGGGCTATTTTCCTTGGAGCATCGGAGGCTGAGGGGTGACCTTATTGAGGTTTATAAAATCATGAGAATCATGGATAGGGTGAATAGCCAAGGACTTTTTCTCAGGGTAGGGGAGTCCAAAACCAGAGGGCATTGGTGTAGGGTGAGAGGGAAAGATTTAAAAGGCACCTAAGGGGTAACTTTTTCACACAGAGGCTGGTGTGTGTATGGAATGAGCTGCCAGAGGAAGTGACAGCGTCTGTATGACCGCAGCTGGCAGATGTGGCCTTGGTTTAATGTCCATTCGGAAAGTGATTACTCTGACAGTCAGGGTGAACTGATTGTCACAGACAAAATTTAAGAAATGCTTTTGCACTGGGGGTTTGAGTGAGTGGTGGTGCCTAGCTGAGTGTAAGGGATTAGGAGGTTTACAGAGCTGAGACAGCAATCAAACAAGAGTACAGTACTGCACATGAGTGAAGTGAAGAATCACAAACACAGTGCATACATTGTCACAGCAGCTATCAAATGCAGGATGGTCCTATAAAAACCAAGACTGCTAACAGTGTAGCACTTGCTCAATAGTGCACTCAACTGTCAAACTTGATCTTTGTGCTTAAGCCCTGTAGTTGGTCTTGAACCCAGGACCTTGTGACTCACACACAAGACTGCAAACAACAGAATGAACAGTTGCAGTTGTGAGGATTGATGTTTGTTCTGGCACTTTAACTTTCTCATTTAATCTGTCACCCATATTTCTTTATATCAATGAATCATAGTGTATTTTAATCACAGTAGGGCAGAACAAGTATAACATGTTTTTAGTGCTTCTGGAAAAACTCATTTGATTATTCAGCTCAATAATGGCAGCAAGATATATTAAAATGCTCTCTGTTTCACATTCCATCTTAAATCCAGCAATGTCATATAGCACTTTAAGGTCAGACTCTGGTGCAATTTTGAAAGTCTTCCAATCAGCCATGACGTTCTCTGCCATATTTATCAAAACAAACTTTTGTATTTCGCAAATATGTGCTGCAATAAATGATCATTTAGATGTGAATTCAATTCTATCCAGTGATGTTATCACTGATTTCAGCAGATTACTTCAAATACCCCTAGTCTAATGAAATACATTAATTGTCATTTTACACCCAAGATGACCACATATACCACGTTGAAACTGTTAATTTCATTCTTTATTAAAATCTGCCATGAATAAACTATGCAATGATCTTGGCTTGGGGAATAAAGGTTGTTTTGACCATTTCATGCTGCATCTTAAATGAGAGAAACTCTCACCTTCCTGTACAATTGTGACACATCTGATTTCCATGCTCTCTATCATTATAACCTTGCTGGCCAGTTTGCTAAATGAATGACTGAAGTATTAAAGTTGAGGATAGTTTAAACTGTAGAAATTTAATCTATGAATTAAATTAAAATAGCTTTTTCAGTTGGATATTTTTAAGGCTGTCTCAACGTAAAACGTCCAATTCTTACTCGGTACATCAGCCAAACTCTGGAACATTCACTGCTTTCATCTTTCATTTGCACTTCCAGATACATTAAACATTTATACGGTTATAACATATTGTGGTTGAATTATTAACCATGTTTAATAATTCAGTATGATCTTTTTTTCTAGATTCTCTGGAGAATAACAAAAGGGAGCCATTGTGACATAGAACAAAGGCACAAATACAGTTGATGAGATGAAAGTTGAGATTATAGCTGTTTAGCGATTTGCATCAGACCTCCTGCATGTTATTTTTCAAGGCCCCAAGAATCAAAATTACAGCAAATGTCCTCTGTGTTTGACCTTCAATCACATGATAAAACAATTAAAAACATGTCTGTATGCTTGCATGAAAACCAAGTTGCTCAAGTATGGCTGTTTGGGAGACTTTCAAAATTGCACTGGAATCTGACCTTAAAGTGACCTGATAGAAGTTTATAACATAATGAGAGGTTTCGATAGAGTTAATGGTGGCTGTCTTTTCCCTAGGATGGGGGATTTCGAGGCCGGGGGCACATTTTTAAGATGAGAGGAGAGAGATTTAAAAAAGACATGAGGCAAATTTTTTTTACACAGAATGCTTCACGTGTGGAATGAAGAGGAAGCGGTGGATGTGGGTACAATTACAATGTTTAAAAGACATTTGGATAAGTACATGAATAGGAAAGTTTTGGAGGGATATGAGCCAGGAGCAGGCAGGTGCAAGTAGTTTAGTTTGAGATAATGTTTGGCATGGACTGGTTGGACTGAAGGATCTGTTTCCATTCTGAATGACTCTACAATTCTATGACTCTATGCTGTATGACATTGCTGGATATAAGATGAAATGTAAGACACAAGGCATTGATTAAGTCAAACTAGAATTAGAAAGATTCCCAACTCAATTGTAAGTTTAAATTCAGAGTACCAATGGCTCTTTATTTTTCACAAGGCGGACAATCTTCATAGATTCCTCCTCCTCCTCAACTTCAAGGTCATCTGGCATAGGTGGTAGCACAGGATCAAAGGCCTTGCGAGCTACTGTGTCGTGAGCTGATAGCACAGCCTGTAATTGTCAACAAAATTTCACATTAGATGATATGCCATTTCTACACCTTTTGTTATCATGCTGTATTGCACCTCTGTATAGCGTGCAAATGGTGGCTAAACGAGCATTAAGAAAACCTTCTTGAGTTTAATATAAATTTATAGGAAGTGAGAGAGAGGATTATTTATATTTCAAAATCACGATCTGTTGATGCTACTTCTTCTAAAATGGATTCTTTGACGGGATGATAGCCAGCATTTGTTGCCCATCCCCAGTTGAGCTGAGTCGATTACTAGACCATTTCAGAAGGTAATTAAGAGTCAACCACGTTGCTGTGGATCTGGAGTTCCATGTAGTCCAGGCAAGGTAAGGATGGCACATTTCCTTCCTGATGGGTTTTTATGATAATCACTAACGTTCATTTATATTTTCTAATCAACCTGTTCAATGATGTTATTATACACCCCTGGAGCAAATAGGAATTGAATCTAGGCCTCCTGGTTTAGAGGTAGGGTGCTACCACTTTGCCACAATATTATGATAAATGATGAAGTCACCCTGCCATGTGATGCCAGTGAAACAGGACTTGGAACAACCGTAATGCAACAAAGTCAACTGGTTGCATTTGTATCTGGGGACATTAAGACAAAGAGAAAGACCTTTATGATCAAGAAAGAATGCCTGGCCATTGTCTTTGGTTGTGAACATTTTAACCAATATCGACTTGGAAGACTCAAAGATACAGTTGAGTCTGACTACAAACCACTTTCTTCAAGCCTCTACCATCTGCTCCAAAGTATCTGCATAGAATGTTACTCCGATTGCAGGAATACCAACTACGTGTTTTTTTTCATTAACGGGATGAGGACGTCGCTGGCCAGGCAGCATTTATTGTCCCTCCCTAATTGCCCAGAGGGCAGTTCAGAGTCAACCACATTGCTGTGGGTCTGGAGTCACATGTAGGCCAGACCATGTAAGAATAGCAGTTTCCTTCCCTAAAGGGCATTAGTGAACCAGGTGGGTTTTTCCCCATAATCAACAAAGGATTCATGGTCATCATTAAATTCTTAATTCCAGATATCTTTATTGAATTCAAATTCCACCATCTGTTGTGGCAGGATTCAAACCCAAGTCCCCAGAATGTTATCTGGGTCTCTGGATTAACAGTCCAGCGATAATACCACTAGGCCATTGCCTCCTCTGTGACATAGAAGCAAGGGAAGTAGATGCATATTGCAGACATGCTGTTGAGAGTAGCCCACTTATTAAAGAAAATGTAGGGTGCTACAACTGAGTGTGAAATCCTCCAGGTTCAATATGAAGCAGCAGCTCACCATTTCTAGGAGTTATCAATTCAATAAAGACACTAAAAATAACAGACAAAGGCCTTCCTCAAATCAAGCAAGCTATCCAACAAATCTCTAATTGTTGCAAGAAGAAATGGTAAAAGGATGGCTGAAGAGCATCATGGACACACCTGATGTATAAGAGCATATAGAAATGACTTGATAGCCCAAGATAGCATATTGTCACAGGTTGTGGAGTAGTTATCCCGAAAGGGCCGAGAAGAAAGACGCTAAAGCATATCTGGGCAAGCCATCAAGGAATCAAACTAAGTCTGAAGAAGACAAAAGATATGCTCTACTGGCTTAAAATGAGCAACAAAATCAAGTACCACATCAGCTAGTGTCAGGCTTGTAAATTGAAGCAGCTGGAGAGCTGCTGATGACATATGACATTCCAGATTGACAATGGAACAAGCTGCGAGTAGATCTCTTTACACTTGCAGGAACTGATTATCTAATCAGAATACTCTACTATTCTGATAACTGGGAGGTAGACTAGTTTACTTCAGTTAGTACCACTGAGATTGTTGAATGCTTAAAATTACATTTCAGCCATCGTAATATTCTTGGCATTGTCATGAGTGACAATGGCCTTCAGTTAATGAGTTAAAAAGTCAGTTTCTTCACCAAGATTGGAAAATTCAACACCATACACTATTTTCCTAATATCCCCAGTAAAATGGAAAGACTGAGGTGGCAGTAAAATTTGCCAAAGGATTCTTCCAGAAGTTGTGTAAATTCCATACAGATGTAGACAAGGCAATCCTCAAGGGGCAAAACACATGGAAAGGTATAGAAAGTAGTCCCAGTACAAAAACTAATTTCTGGCTGCGTGCAAACTATTCTTCCAATATCAAAAAAGAAACAGTTGTGAGAGAAAGAAAACAAAAGGAAAAGGCAGAAAGACAATTTTCATTTTGACAAGACTGCTAAAACCTTGCCAGAGCTGAGTAGTGGAGAGCCAGTCAGGGTACAAACATTCAACAATTTCAATAAAAGTCAGCCAAAGTGGCCCTGTGGGACTAGCTTGGAACAGTTGTTACCTCAAGAAGTGAACGACTAGATATCATCTTAAGTGCAGGCACACACATCCAACTGCAAAATCTGTTCCTCAACTGAACATGGCTGATTGAGAAAAGGTGAACTAACCTCCTATACAGATTGACCATCAGATACAGAGGTCCATCACAACCAGACAACAGAAGTAGAACAATGATAGCTACTACGGCAACAACAACCCATGGAAGTTGATCTTCATGACAAAATTCCATGTTAATACTCTGATAGTCTACTGTTTAAGGCCTCACACCCACTCTGGATCCAGCTGCTTAGAAGGCAGATAGGTTACTTTTAAATAGAACCACTGCCCATTATTGATGCATATTGCAGAGTACCCCCTCCCCTGGTCTGAAATCAGTAGCTTCTCACAAATTGAATCCACACATTGCAGTCCAAACACCAAAGGAGTTGGCACCTGTGAATGGTCTCAGTGTTGGGTTTCCAAGAATCCAGCCAGGTATATCTACAAGTAATTAATACTACAAGAGTATCATATAGATAGTATTTTGCTTTTCCACTTAAGTAACCAGCTGCAGCTCCCAGTCCCATGAGTATCTCACTTGTGTTACTCACTTGACCAAACAACAGTAAAAGTGTATCTGCCCTGAAGGATTTGGATTTCATTTTGAAAACAGTATATTTAATATAAGTGAATGGGGTCAAGTAGAGGTGATAATAGAGGAACAAGGAATTAGTTGGTTGAGAACCCCAGAGATTTGGATTTCATGAGGCTAGTTTTACAAAAGAACGTTGCTATCAGTGTACCATTGTACTCCAAATAATGAAATAATACACAGAGGTCTAATGACTATGGAAGAGATCTCAAGCTGCACCTAGTCAGCCATACAGTCAATATGGCTCCTAGTGAGGAATGGTAGGCCAAATGGCCTATTTCTACACTGTAACAGTTTGATTCTGAAAATGCTGGCAAACTGGCATATCAACTGGATGTTTATGTTTATATCTTTATGGGCCAGTCCATCGCTGTTCTTGCCTCTGCAACCCTTCCAAAATTCAGCTTATTATATCTTTCCAAGAATTGTTCAACACCATACCTACAGCTGGCAGAGCCAGGCCCCAGATGAACTCTGAATGCTGGTGCATGTTGGTATAGTTGTTATGTTTTTCAGTCCAGTGAGATTACTACCGAAATCCCTATAGATTGGCTGGTGCTGAGTAGCAATATACAACTATATATCATAGTAATGAATGTGATTATAATTGGATGAAGTTGTTTTGGTGTTCAGGAATTATGAAAAACATTATGAAAAACACAAAGGATTGTTTTCAATTCTGTAAATGGAGTGAAATTGAGAAGTTTAAAAATAGTTTGTGAAATAACTGCACTGTGGCCGATATCCCGTCACCAACTTGCCCTTCATTTATAGGTAGTAGGAACTGCAGATGCTGGAGAATCTGAGATACCAAGGTGTAGAGCTGGATGAACACAGCAGGCCAAGCAGCATCAGAGGAGCAGGAAAGCTGACGTTTCGGGCCTAGACCCTTCTTCAGAAATGGGGGAGGGGAAGTGGGTTCTGAAATAAATAGGGAGAGAGTGGGAGGCGGATAGAAGATGGATAGAGGAGAAGGTAGGTGGAGAGGAGACAGACAGGTCAAAGAGGCTGGGATGGAGCCAGAAAAGGTGAGTGTAGGTGGGTAGTTAGGGAGGGGATAGGTCAGTCCAGGGAGGACGGACAGGTCAAGGGGTCGGGATGAGGTTTGTAGGTAGGAGATGGGGGTGGGTCTTGAGGTGGGAGGAGGGTATAGGTGGGAGGAAGGACAGGTTAGGGAGGTGGGGATGCGGTAGGAAGAGGGGAGATTTTGAAGCTTGTGAAGCCCTGCAGTGCCACAACGATGCCACCTGAAGGTTGCAGGAACAGCACCTCATATTCCGCTTGGGAACCCTGCATCCCAATGGTATCAATGTGGACTTCACAAGCTTCAAAATCTCCCCTCCCTCTACCGCATCCCAAAACCAGCCCAGCTTGTCCCCGCCTCCCTAACCTGTCCTTCCTCCCACCTCTCCCCTCCTCCCACCTCAAGCCCCACTCCCATCTCCTACGTACTAGCCTCACTCCGCCCCCTTGACCTGTCCATCCTCCCTGGACTGACCTATCTCCCTACCTCCCCACCTACCTCATCTTTATTGGCTCCATCCCGGCCTCTTTGACCTGTCTGTCTCCTATCCACCTATCTTCTCCTCTATCCATCTTGTATCCACCTCCCCCTCTCTCCCTATTTATTTCAGAACTCCCTTCCTCTCCCCCATTTCTGAAGAAGGGTCTAGGCCCGAATGTCAGCTTTTCTGCTCCTCTGATGCTGCTTGGCCTGCTGTGTTCATCCAGCTCTACACCTTGTTATCTCTTGCCCTTCATTTACCTGTGCACAGTACACTGGCTCTGAGCAGCAGCCTGAAGTCAGGATACTCTCTGAATCCCTATCAGCCAGAGCTCCCTGACTGGCCCAGGTTAACAACCCCAATCAAGGATCCCATAGCCAATGAGATTCACTTGGTTGCAATCACTACAGTTTGGTGCTTTTTTTTAAAAAATGGATTTTCTCAATGGTTAGCTCGTAGTGCATTTGTACACTAATGTATTTGGTTAACATGGACATCTTTGAATGTGTATCTGGCATGAGACTGGCCATTACTAAACAGACAATACCTTCTCCCTTTTTATATCAGCATAAAATCTATTTTGACATCATCTTGATTTAAAAATAAAGACAGCCCCACCTACTCTCTGATTTGCAATCCACCTCATTCATTCTTTTTGACTCTATTTGTCTTGTCCAAAGTTTGTTTGTTGTCCAAAGTTCAGATAAAGAGGGGAAGTGATGCTCAGCACAATCAATTATTTTCCCAGGTGAAATTTAATGAACATGTAGAGTTGGGTTACATGTATAATTTCCAAAGGCTAATTTCAAGATATTCTCTTAGCTGGAGAATATTATGTGGTATGCATGATTTCAATTGAGAAGAGGAGAAGATTTACATTGTTTCTGAAGGAGGGTCACTGCATCCAAAATGGTAACTGTGATTTCTCTCCAGAGATGTTGCCAGACCTGCTGAGTTTTCCCAGCAATTTCTCTTTGTGATTTTGTTTCTTATTTCCAGCATCCATAGTTCTTTTGGATTTTTTTTGTTCATTGTATGTAATCTTTCTCACTTTTAAGATGTACGATGGCTGGAAGAAGAGAAAGACCATACTTAAGTACATAGTGTTTCATGAACCTAAGATGTTTGAAAGCACATATGTGTCAGTGGCGTAGCGTTGAAGTGTAAAGAATGTAAAGAATGTAATGTAAAGAATGCAGACACAAACTCATAGGGTCATCCAGCATGGAAACACGACCCTTTGGTTCAACCAATCCATACCAACCATGTTTCTAAACTAACCTGCCTGCATTTGGTCCATATCCCTCCAAACATTTCTTATTCATGTATTTATCTAAATGTCTTTTAAATATTGTAACTAGCCACATCCACCATTTTCTGTGGAAGTTCATTCTAAACACAAATCACTCCCTGTAAATAAAAATGCTCCTCCATGTCTTTTGAAATCTTCCTTCTCTCACCTTAAAATGCCCCCTAGTCTTGAAACCCCCACTCTAGGGAAAAGACACCTGCCATTTGCGTTATCTATACCCCTCATGATTTTATAAACTTCTATAGGGTCACCCCTCAACCTCCTACACTCCAGTGAAAAAAGTCCCAGCCTGTCCAGCCTCTCTTTATAACTCAAACCCTCCATTCCTAGGAACATCCTGGTAAATCTCTTCTGAACCCTCTCTAGCTTAATACCCTTCCTATAACAGGGAGACCAGAACAGGACATAGTATTCCAGAAGGGGCCTCATCAACGCTCTATGCAACTGCAACATAACATCCCAAATCCTATACTCAAAGGCTGAACAATGAAGGTAAGCATGCACACTGAGGTTCCATAAACATTAATAAGGCAATTAACCAATTTATTTTAGTAAAACCGATTCAAAGTAAATGCTGGTCAGAGAATCATGCCTGTATCATTTGAATATTGCCCATGGGATTTTACCTCTATTTCTGAGGATAGATAGATTGTGGGCTTAATGTATCATCTGAAAACTACTGAACTAAAAAAAAATCAGCGTAGATTAGGTGCTAATTTTTTGTTGCATGAACTTCTGACTCAGAGGCAAGAGAGTGCAGGAGCTTGCTTGAAATTCTGAGTCGAAGTTCTGTGCACTTCTTAAATTTTGTCATAGTAGGCATTCTCCATGTTGAATGTGAATAAATGTATGGATTTCACTAGGAATTAATGACATTCCTGCATAAATATTAATTAAGTAGTCTAAAATTAAAAAGTGATAATTATTTACTTACAATGAGATGCCTTGTACTAAAATAAAACCTTTACCTGGAGGTGTGGCTTGGCCAATAACTGCATTAGTTCTCTCATGTCATTGTTGTTCTGTACACTCTGCAGCTCTTCTGATATCTATGAGAAAACAATGATGACAAAGATGTGAAAATGACATATTTGTGTTTCACCTTAATACAACCCTTAGACGTATCTCAAGTGCTTGGCATAAAATTAATTAAAAATAAAGACAATCAATGCAGTGTAGGATAAGGATAAGGGGTAGCAGATTTAAAACAGAGATGAGAAAAATGACTTCTTAAAGGGTTGAGAATCTATGGAATTCACAACCCCAGAGGAAGGGAGGATGACGCGAGGATATCGAATTAATTTGAGGAGGGTATAGATTTTTAATTAGTAACGGATTAATGGGTTAAAGGGAATGGGTGGGAAAGTGGAGTTGCTGCCGAGATATCATCAGCCATAATTGTATTAAATGGTGAGCAGGCTCGAGGGGCTGAATTGCCTACTCCTACTCCTAGTTATGTTCATATGTCATGGTCAGCAGTCACCAAAAATGTTCAAGGATACCTTGAACTATGCAGAGCCAGGTTCTGACCCCATGCCGCTAAATGGCTGCTGAGGTTTCCTTACAGAGAACTTAATGGAACAATTCACATTTACTGTTCTGAAAACTCCCTGATTTACCAGACCATCTTTCTATAGTCGCCAGTTTAACAACATCCTTCCTAATTATGCCATAGTTTTGTTAATGCAACATGTAGCGTTTCAAGTTAATAGATGGTTACTGAGACCATGTTTCTTTCATTCTTTAGACAGTTCATAGCAAGAGCTACTACCAGAAGCAGAAGATGCCTGACACCCAAGACAAGAGTAATGGGCTGATGTGCCATTTCCTGAGGAATCAGTTTGATATTTTGACAGGCTTAATATTACTTTGTCCTCAAGATTGACATGAACTGTCCTAAAGCTGTGTTCTACAAAATGGGCCCAATAAGTAAGGAAATGGATATCAGTCTTGTGAAAGATGGAGTCCAGTATTTTAGGATGTTTACTTACTTTGGTTCTGATTTTGGAATAAATATAATCTTTGACAGGATTTTTATTAGTATTAAGGTAAAAAGGGAAAAATTGAGCAGCCTTCACCTTAGCAATGTATAGGAAGCTTGTAGAAAGCAATGTGAAAAAAGTGCAATCTGATAAGAAAACCACCTTATCTCACAATAAGACACTTCATGTTTTCCTTCTTGTCATGATAGCTGTCTAATCTGAGAGTACAGATGTTTGGCAAACATAAGAACCAAAATTCATAACACTGTTTAGACCTCCCAAATCATACTTATAACCATAACATTTTCTCCTTGGTTAGTGAGTTCTGCTTGTTTTTTTGCTTTCGCTTTCCATATTCCATTGATTTGGAGTCATTTAAGGGAATAGTTGCATAGTGGGTACGTTATTGGACTAATAATTCTGAGGCCTGGCCTAATGAACCAGAGACTTGAGGGTTTGAATCATATTATGGCTCCTGTGGAATTTAAATTCAGTTATTGTGTAAACACTAAAATCAATATTAGTAACCGTGAAGTTACCAGACTGTTGCAAAAACTCATTGTGCTCAATAATATCCTGATCTACATATGAAGCCGGTCCTTCAATAATATGGTTGGCTCTGAAATGACCGAACCAGCTCCACAGGTAAAAGTAGTGAATGCTGCTTTGCTCATTTCCCAAAAATGAATTTAAATATATGCAATAGCACAAGTCTTCATAGGAACAGAAATAAAACCTAACACAAACCCAACCAGTAATGTCACTGTTTGTTCTGTCTAAGTGTTACTCACAAATATGATTTATTCACAAGCTTTCCAAGTGTTTATGTTCCCAAATGAGTTACAAATGTTGACGAAACTTCTGAGAGTGCAAATTGTGACACTCCAGCTTCACTCTTCATACCCCTCAATTCTAGAAACATGTCTAATTACTGACTGCATTCATTTAATGCCCATTTCAATTGCCCAAATTTCAAAGAATGTTATGTAATTGAATTAGTCAGTGTATTTTTAGGATCCTGGGTAATTGGCATCACTGTAACTGTAATTTGTTCAATGGTAGTTTTAATAATAAACTTAAAGGTACACTTCCTGGTTACCTTTGTTTTTTAATTGTATTTAATTTAATCACATTCTTGATTTGATTTTTTTTAGGTACTAAAAGTTTATTACCAATATCAAAATAGTTATATGCCTACATATAATGAACATTCCAAAGGAAATATAAAGAAAGGGAAACAAATATTCAATTTATTAGGCAACTAAATGAAATAGCTCTCCTTTTCTAATTTATTACTGGCCTGGCTTACCCCGGACAATAAATAAAGATCGAGGGGAGGAAATAGATGCCTTTGAAATATAGATCCTGAGACATATACTTCAAATTATTATACAGACCATAGAAGACAAATAAAGAGGTGCTTGAAGTTGGACCAGCAAAAAGATTTCAAAAAAATGATATTCGGAAAAGAAACTGACAGCATGAGTTTGTAGACTTGCTCACTGAGCTGGAGTACAAAGAACAAAGAACAAAGAAAATTACAGCACAGGAACAGGGCCTTCGGCCCTCCAAGCCTGCGCCAATCCAGATCCTTTATGTAAACCTGTCACCTATTTTCCAAGGATCTGTATCCCTCTGCTCCCTGCCCATTCATGTATCTGTCTCGATACATCTTAAATGACACTATCGTGCCCGCCTCTATCACCTCTGTTGGCAACGCGTTCCAGGCACCTACCACCCTCTGCGTAAAGAACTTTCCATGCATATCTCCCTTAAACTTTTCCCCTCTCACCTTGAAATCGTGACCCCTAGTAATTCAGTCCCCCACTCTGGGAAAAAGCTTCTTGCTATCCACCCTGTCTATACCTCTCATGATTTTGTAGACCTCAATCAAGTCCCCCCTCAACCTCCGTCTTTCTAATGTAAATAATCCTAATCCAATCAACCTCTCTTCATAGCTAGCGCCTTCCATACCAGGCAACATCCTGGTGAACCTCCTCTGCACCCTCTCCAAAGCATCCACATCCTTTTGGTAATGTGGCGGCCAGAACTGTATGCAGTATTCCACATGTCCTATACAACTGTAACTTGACCTGCCAACTCTTGTACTCAATACCCCGTCCGATGAATGAAAGCATGCCGTATGCCTTCTTGACCACGCTATCGACCTGCATTGCCACCTTCAGGGTACAATGGACCTGAACACCCAGATCTCTCTGTGCATCAATTTTCCCCAGGGCTTTTCCATTTACCGTATAGTTCGCTCTTGAATTGGATCTTTCAAAAATGCATCACCTTGCATTTGCCTGGATTGAACTCCATCTGCCATTTCTCCGCCCAACTCTCCAATCTATCTATATTCTGCTGCATTCTCCGACAGTCCCCTTCACTATCTGCTACTCCACCAATCTTAGTGTCATCTGCAAACTTGCTAATCAGACCATCTATACCTTCCTCCAGATCATTTATGTGTATCACAAACAACAGTGGTCCCAACTCGGATCCCTGTGGAATACCACTGGTCACAGTTCTCCATTTTGAGAAACTCCCCTTCCACTACAACTCTGTCTCCTGTTGCCCAGCCAGTTCTCTATCCATCCAGCTAGTATACCCCGGACCCCATGCGACTTCACTTTCTCCATCAGCCTACCATGGGGAACCTTATCAAATACCTTACTGAAGTCCATGTATATGACATCTACAGCCCTTCCCTTATCTATCAATTTTGTCACTTCCTCAAAGAATTCTATCAAGTTGGTAAGACATGACCTTCCTTGCACAAAACCATGCTGCCTATCACTAATAAGCCCATTTTCTTCCAAATGTAAATAGATCCTATCCCTCAGTATCTTCTCCAGCAGCTTCCCGACCACTGACATCAGGCTTACCGGCCTATAATTACCTGGATTATCCTTGCTACCCTTCTTAAACAAGGGGACAATATTAGCAATTCTCCAGTCCTCCGGGACCTCACCCGTGCTCAAGGATGCTGCAAGGATATCTTTTAAGGCCCCAGCTATTTCCTCTCTCGCTTCCCTCAGTAACCTGGGATAGATCCCATCCAGACCTGGGGACTTGTCCACCCTAATGCCTTTTAGAATACCCAACACTTCCCCCCTCCTTATGCCAACTTGACCTAGGAGTGTTTGGTTTCAAATGTTTTGTCACCCTGCTCAGTAACATTGTCAGTGCGTCTCTGGTGAAGTGTTGGATTTCTGTCCTGCTTGTTATTTATATGCCTTGGTTTGCTGGGGTGGTTGGCAGTATGTCCGGTTCTGTTTTTCAGTGGTTTGTGTATTGGGTCTAGTTCAATGTGTTTGTTAATGGAGTTCCAGTTGGAATGCCAAGCCTCCACGAATTCCCTGACATGTCTCTGTTTAGCTTGTGCTATTATGGATGCATTGTCCCAGTCGAATTCGTGTCCCCTTTGTCCGTGTGTATTGAGACCAGTGAGAATTGGTCGTGTCTCTTGGTGGCCAGTTGGTGTTTGTGTATCCTTATTGTCAGTTTTCTTCCAGTTTGGCCTATGTAATATTTTTCACAGTGCTTGCATGGTATTTTGTATATTACGTTAGTTTTATTGGTTGTGGGTATGGGATCCTTTACATTCGTCAGTAGCTGTCGCAGCTTGGTTGTTGGTTTGTGGATTACCCTGATACCTAGGGGTCTGAGTAATATTGTGCTCATCTCTAATATGTCTCTGATGTACGGTAGAGTGACTAGTGTGTGTGGCTGTGTTGTATCTTCTAATTGTGGTCTGTCACAGAGATAACAGAGGATTGTGCTTTTTGGGTATCCATTCCTTTTAAAAACTGCGTATAAGTGCACCTGTTCTGCTTTGCGCAATTCCGGGTTGCTGCGGTGTGTTTTGGCCTGTTTCAATAATGTCCTGATGCAGCTCCGTTTATGGGTGTTGGGGTGGTTGCTGGAGTAATTAAATATCTCTTCTGTACGTGTGGTCTTACTGTATACGCTGGTCTGGAGTTGCCCATTGTTCTTACGTTCTACCATTATGTCTAGGAAGGGTAATTGGCTATTGTTCTCCTCTTCTTTTGTGAATTTTATTATGGTGAGGATGCTTATGTATCAGTGGGTTTCTTCTAGTCTTGTGCATTTGATAATCACGAGGGTGTCATCTACATTGCGGACCCAGAGTTTGGGTTGTATAGTGAGGAGCGCTGTTCATTCTAACCTTTGCATTACGGCTTCTGCAATCAGTCCTGATACTGGGGATCCCATTTGGTGTTTTGTTGATTTGTTTGAATGTATGGTCGTTGAAAGTGAAGTCGGTTGTGAGGCACAGATCCAGCAGTTTCAGGGTGCTGTCCTTGTTGATGCTGTTGGTGTTGTGGGGTGCCTGCCTTCCCTGATTCATCCAGCTGTGTGGCAATTGTGTCTTTGTACAGGTCAATGTTTATGGATGTAAATACTGCTGTTACATCGAAGGATATCATTATCTTGTCCTGCTTCTATTCTGGTGTCCTTGATGAAGTTGAGGAATTCTTGGAAGGACTGGATGGAGTGGGTAGTGTTGTCAACTAAGTATTTCAGTTTCCGTTGCGGTTCTTTGGTTCTGATCCAAGAGAAATGAGTTTTCTTTCTTATCCTTCCTAGCTACCCTGAAAAATATATGTTGGTGTGCCTGGTAGTAAGACAATGGGTCTAAGGGGGACGCCTGGCTTGTGCATCTTGAGGAGTCTCAATAACAAATGGGACAGAACACCAATGCTTCACCAGAGGCTCACTGATGACGTTACCTAGCAGGGTGATGAAACGTCTGCAACCAAACACATTGGCTCAGCGAGCAAGTCTATAACATCATCCACAACCCGAGCTACGAATCTTCTCAAAAACTTTAAAATGACAGCATTTTGGCCATTTGATCAGAGTTAAAAAGGTACACAGACATCTTCTAGTATTGACCAACAGAAAGATATGTTGACTTAGGCAAAGTTACATGATGGACTTCAGAGAGTAGTTGAAGACAAACTACAATAGATGTACAAGTGTGGTGCAAGACAGACAGGATATGATATATCAAGATATGAGATCACTTGGCAGGAGTAAGTACAAGCAGATGGACAAACTGCCCAATAAAAATAACTGCTAACCTTGCATTATTTAGTTCTCTACAAACAATGGAATGAAACCTTGGATCAATGAAATCAATGCTTTCAGTCATAAAGCATTTCACTCAACTTGTCATTTATTGAATAATTTAATTACTCTCACTTGCCAGAAGTGCTCTCCGTATTCTTTTCAGAATATTCTCCTTTCCTCTTACTTTCTTCTTATTCAAAGTTCTGATCCAAGAGAAATGAGTTTTCTTTCTTATCCTTCCTAGCTACCCTGAAAATTATATTATCTAAGTGATGATTCAGCTGTGTTCTCAATCTGTCTCAAATTTGATTTCAAATCCCTACACATTCACTGTTCACTCAGTTTCTCCCTGAATTAATGGACTCCTACCATTGTTAAATTATTTAGGGCAGATGAAATTTCATTTAAAAGGAATTTTATTAGCACTGTATAAGTTGCTACAAATATGATCAATGAGGCTTTCAAATATGTTCACCATGCTTTAATGAATATTAAGAAACTAGACTTTATACTTTCCTAACTGGTATTAGATTGAGGAGAATGACTGACCAAGGGTAGCTTAATTTTGCCCTTATGTCTTTAGCATTACTAACAATACAATGTATTTACTTAGTCTGCTATTAATGGTGTCACATGGCACTTACCTTGGGTAAATAGAGTGCAGATTAGTATACTCTGACAATATAAAAGAATTATCCTTTTGAATCCAAAGTGGAGAGGAGATGTTGCGATGGTAACATCATTGGACTAGTAACCCAAAGGCTAATCTTGAGACATTGGTTCAATTCCCATCATAGAAGATGGTGGAATTTGAATTCAATGAAAAGTCTGGAATTAAAAGCTAGACTAATGACTGTTGTTATAAAAACCCATCTTGTTCACCTATGCCCTTAGGGAAGGAAATCTTGTGCCTGCATGTGACCACAGATCGACAGCAATGTGGTTAACTCTTAAATGCCCTCTGAAATGGCCTAGAGATGTAAAGAAGGGCAACTAGGCCCTTGCTAGTAATACCCACATCTCATACCACAATACAGATAAAGAAAATCCCTTCAACTGGTGTAAGAATTGAACCCATACCATTGGCACTACTAAACAGCTGTCCAGCCAACTGAGCTAATCAACCTTTGTAGAGTTTGCACATTCTCCCTGTGCCTGTGAGGGTTTCCTTCGTGTGCTTCGGTTCTTCCCACAGTACAAAGATGTGCAGATTAGGTGGATTGGCCATGCTAAACTGCCCATAGTGTCCAGGGATGTGCAGGCTAGGTGGGTTAGCCATGGGAAATGCAGGGTTACAGGGATAGGGTGGAGAGGTGGGTCTAGATGGGATGCTCTTCGAAGGGTTGGCGTGGACCAGATTGGCCGAATGGCCTGTTCCCACACTGCAGGGATCCAATTATTTATGATTTTAACCCCGAGAGTAATAAATTTGCAATGCAATCATATGAACAGTATAATGCTGATTACTAATGGATTTCCGTTGTTGACTTATTGTAGCTACTTACATCCTCAGCTAAAGCTGCTGCGCTATGTAGCGCAGGAGTTGGTCCTTGTCTAACAAACTGCTGCAGTTTCTGATGAATCTGTAATGGAAGCAGAGATTATTTACTCAACTTTACTCCAACAGCTGTGATTAAGTAAACTGTAAATGAAACAGCCAGGCTTCAGGGGTCAATTTTCCTCTGGATGCTCAGGTATGAAATTGGCATCCTGTGGCATTTGGTGAAGAAACAAATAATATTGTCAAGGTATGCAAAAAAAACTTGGAACTGAATCAGATTAAAAATCAGGTAACAACAGAAGCCATTAAATCTAATGGTTACTGTTTATTGATTTACAAAAATTGCCATCAATATTACGCTTTAATTCAACGTTGCATGAAATAAATACCAAGCTTATTGATGTGATCACCATCTATATTCAAATATTAAATATTAATAACCTCTCCCTGAAGCCAGGGTTAGCAGGGATGTTTTATTTTACAGTACAACATCATTAAGGTTCAGCACTATGTCTGCAATACCCAATATGAAATACTATACCTTCATGAGTGAATTGAAACTATGTTCGCTGAAGACTTCTGTCAAGAAACCGATTTCTGCTGTGAGGTTGGCATCTGGCCGTAGCTGTGCTGTCAGAAGAGCCAATATTTCATGCAATCCTGCACAGAAAACACCACATTGATATCCATGGACTGTTGTAGAAATCACTGTAATACAGAGGGGATGCCTGGCGTTTTAGCCTTGATTTCTTGAATGTTGGACATTATTTCAAATGTTTTGTTATTTAGCAGACTGAGTAAAGAACTTAAACCCATTGCATTTCCCTGCAGTCCTAGGGATATATACTTGCATTTTTACCCTAAAACGTTAGCTCAACATAGGATATTGCATGTCAGACATATTTTGGCTTTAAACACTCATGAACCACAATTTTTATGGTTTCACCCATGTTCACCAATTCTCTTCTTCCAGATTTTGTGTGGTTAGTCATGGGGAACTGAAGAAAATCACTGTCAGTGAAGGGCATTTCTTAAGCCATCCAGCAGAGAAAACTAATTATCCTTCTTTTTAGTTCTAGACCATTCCTGGACACCGTTCAACAGCAAATTCTCATCATCCTGTTATGAAGATGCTTCATGTTTACTGTATCTTGGAGAAATTGAAGGCTTGTGGAAAACATGATTTGTTTAAAGTTTTGTGGAAATACAGCAACCGTTTTATTAACCGGCTGCCTATGGGACCAGGAGTGTACCGGTTGATGAAGTATTCCAGTGATCAAGAGGTCCACATAATCAGTGTAAAAACACACATTAAACCATAGGAATGTAATGCAAATGGTAAACACATCAAACTTATAATTAATTTTGTGATGATTATAATGAAGTCAGCCAGGTGGACCTCATAGAATAGGAGTTCCCTGATTGGGGCTGTTAACCTGATCCATTCAGGGACCCCTGGCTGACAGATATAAACAGGAGGGTCAGAGATTCTGTTCACTCTGAGAGCTGGCTCTGAGGAAGCTGGATTAGTGTCAAAGACTTTCCACTTGTAATTAAAGGGTGATTGGTGATGGGATACTGGCCTCTGTGGAGTTATTTCAATTTTCAGCATAAATCACTTAAACAATAGCTTAACTAAAACTTACTGACAGAACTTTCTCGGTTGCACCCTCAACTGACTACATGGACATCATGGAGATCTCAATAATACAGTTTACTTTCAGTGCTTCAGGGTATAATTTTTTCTGGTTTGAGGGAGCTGATTCGTCAGCTGCCAGTTAAAACAAAATTGCTTTACCTGGAATTGGTTTCTTTAAATAGGTAATTGAAAAGTCTATGAGGACATTGGAGTTTTTTTGTTAACCAGGCTTCCAAGAAATCACATGACTGGTGGTAACTACTTGTTCTGTTGTTATACCTTGCCTGGACTGGATGGACTGTGATTTGGAATCTGGAATTAATTGGGGGAACAAGCAGCAGGGTGGCCCAGCTGATCTCTTCTATTTCTGAAAATGTTGTGATCATTTGGAACTTATTCTTTCCTTTGAAAGAGAGATTGAAGGAATTTTTCAACATTGTGTTTCCTGAGCAGACACCAGAGACAGCCGTATGACTAGTGACTTGACCACATATGCCAGAACATCAGAGTGGCAGACCTTGGAATATTCTACACTTCCATCTCTTTTATCTTCTAGAATAACCCAAATGGCCGGAAAGTTTATTCTTAAAGTGAACTTCTGCAGTGAAAAAAATCAATGCTTCCTCTTTTCCAGAAGAATGTTTGTATGTTTTGGGTTAATTAGTGGATCAGATGCTTATACTTCTAATTGTATGCTAACTGGTTATTGCAGCCTCATCGAATGGTTTTTGTTTTGATAAAATGCCAATAATTGTGTTTCTTAAATAACCCATTGATGGATCTTTTTTATTTAGCTTGACATAGATATTTAATTCGCCATCATGGTAACAAGGTAAACTATTGTTTCTTTTTTCATGTTGTGAGATGTAGGTGACAGTGTACTCCTCCAGCCTCAGTCGTAACAATCCCAAGACACAGAGGTCATTGGCACCCATTGGCATACTATAATCTATAGAAAATGATGCTGAGTCTTGGCTTGGCTGGGAAAGCTGTGACTCCACATATAGAGGGTTTCTGTCCCTGTGGTGTCAACAACATTGCAAAGGGTAGGTGGAAGTTTTACCTCTTTGAATTCCAAACAAGACTTCCCAAAATCATGGCAACCCAGATGAAATGAGCTTTGGCTTTCCCAATGGATTCTGTTGGAATTATACCAGGAGCTCAGTGAAACCCATAAGAAAACTTTGGTGCTTTGTGCAATACTTCAGCAATGTTATGAATAGGAAATGTAAAGCATCATCTCTAGAAGTATTTTATAGCATTGTGTCAGCTGGACACAAACATTGACATCAGGATTCTTTTAGAAAGTAACATGGAAATTTGTAACAATTAAGAGATAACTGAGGTGCACTTAAGTGTTCATGTTTCTTTAGGGCTCTTCTGGCATGGTGATAGTGTCTGTATCTCTGAAACAGAAGGCCCTTATTCAAGTCCTACCTGCTCACGAGTGTGTCAAACATATCTGAATGGGTTGATTAAAAATATCTACGTCAGAAAGCCAAAGGTGTAGTGCTATTGTCATTAGATTAGTAATCCAAAATAGCAGATAAGTATCTGGGGCTCAGGGTTTGAATCCCACCAAGGCAGATAGCAGAATTTGAATTCAATAAAAATATGGGATTAAAAGTCTAATCATGACCACAAAATCATTGTTAATTGTCATCAAAACCCATCTGGCTTGTTTATGTACTTTAGGAAAGGAAACTGCCATCTTTACCTGGTCCGGTCTACATGTGACTCCAGACCCACAGCAATATGGATGACTTTTAAACGGCCTAACAAGACATTCAGATGTGCGAACCACTAGAAAGCAGAAAAGGTATAAAACCAGATAGACAATCTGACATCAACTAAGGCACCAGAAAAGACAATGACAGAAACAGCCCTGTTGACTATGCAACATCCTCCTTACTAAAGTCTGGGGCTAGGCCAAAATTGGGACAGCGGTCTCACTGACTGCTCAAGCAACAGTGTGACATAGTCATACTGATGGAATGATACCTTACAGATAATGACCCAGACACCGTCATCACAATTCCTGGGTACGCTCTGTTCCAATGGCAGGACACACCCAGCAGAAGTGGCGGCACACTGTTGGGAGAGAACTGCCTTTGGAGTCCTCAATATTGAATTTTAATCCCATGAAGTCTCACGGCATCAAATCAAACATGAGCTAGGAAACTTTCTGCTGATTACCATGTACTGCCCGACCTCAGCTAATAACTCTGTGCTCATCCATGTTGAATACCATTTGAAGAAAGCACTGAGGGTGGCAAGAGTGCAGAATATATTCCAGGTGGGATCCTTAAATGTTCACTAACAGTGGCTCAACAGCACCACTACTGACTGAGCTGCTCGAGTCCCAAAGGACATAGTTGCCAGACTGGGTCTGAAGAAGGTCATAAGTGAACCAACCAGAGTGAAGAACATACTTGAACTCATCCTCACTAATCTGTCTGCCACAGACGCACCTATCAATAATAGTATCAGTAAGAGTGACCACTGCGCAGTTCTTATGAAGGTGACATCCCATCTTCACATTGAGAAGACCCACCATCGTGTTGTGTGGCAAATGGACTGCAGCAGCTCAAGAAAAGAGTGCACCAGTACCTTCTCAATGGCTACTAGGGATGGGCAATAAGTGCTGACTCAGCCAGCAATGTCCTTTCCCGAGAATGAATGTAAAAAAATGTTTGAACTCCCCAAATAATACTCTCAATTAATGACAATCCCATAGAAGAGATTATTTCTTTTTAGAGCAAAACAATACAATCAGTAAGGTGCTCTTTTTACATGCAGGTGTATTTCTAAATCAAAAACAGATGTTTTTAAGTTATATGAATGGCCCCTTTTAGATTTTACAATTCTATAGTTTCCTGTATGGTGGTCTGTTGCAAGTCTCCAGCAACTGTTTTATTCATTATGCTGTCTAATTTACATTGAATACAATGATAGACACTTACCATCTAGCAGCACAAAAAGAAATCATTTGGCTTATCAAGTCTGAATATGTTCTTTTGAAGAGCTATTTGTTTAAGTACATCCTATTCTTGCCCATATTCCTGCAGGTGCCTTCTTCAAGTAGCTATCCAATTCTCTTTTGAAAAGCTACTATTAAATCTGTTCCTACCACACAACGTATTTCAAGTCCTAATTCATAGCATCCCTACAGTGCGGAAACAGGCCATTCTGCCCATCGAGTCAATACCGACTCTCTGAAAAGCATCCCTCCCAGACCCACCACATCCCTGTATTTCCCATGGCCAATCTACCTGACCTGCACATCTTTGGACTGTGGGAGGAAACTGGAGCACCCAGAGGAAACACAAGCACAGGGAGAGTGTGCAAACACCACACAGATAGATGCCCACAGGTGGATTCAAACACTGATCCTTGTTGCTGTGAGGCAGCAACGCTAGCCACCTGAGCCACTGTGCTGCCCCACCATCAAGAACATCAACAAGAGTGGGAGTTGAACCCATGCGTGCACAGCACAATATATTAGCAGTCTGAGACCTTAACCTCTCGGCTACATCGTCACAACAATTCATTGTTGTGTAAAATAATATTTCATCATATCACCTCTTTTGCAAATCAACTTAAAACTGTGCCCTCTGGTTTTCAATATTTTAGCCAGTGGAAATGGTTTCTCTTTATTTCTTGCGTACAAACCCTTCACAATTTTATAGGCTTCAATCATATCTCCTCTGCTCCTTCTTTGCTCTAAGAGGAACAATTAACTAACAAGAATTGCACAATGGATCTATTCCAGTGTCTTCATTCTTAAACCCTTTAACTGAAGGAATTCATGTTGCATTTCCCATCAAATTGTTACCCTTCATTATAAAAATCTGAATATTAATCTTTTGCTACTAACTACTAAAGAGTTTGAGATAATACTCCATAAATATATGAAAACTAGTATCTTCAGTGTTAACATTTTCTCTGCACTGATTGAAACTTTTAAAACCGGGTCGTACCTTCCAGTGTTGAACCCAACATTTATCTCTCAACCAAGAAC